TCTAGGGATGACAATATTTCAATGCCTCATGCAGTCAACCCTTTGGTCTTGAATAAACAAAGTCCTATCTCTCTGCATAGATTCGAACTATCAAAGGTAGAGATAAACCTTGGAAGATGTAGAAATCAAGTCAATAACATAGGGTTTTGAATCTTTACCCAAAAAATGAGGCGGAGGAAGCCGTGTCTGTTGTTTCTTTAATTTCTAGTTCTGGAGGATATATTAATGGGACCCAATCAAAAAAGTTTGAATTGTTAATGGAAAGAACATCATCAATATATCTGAGTGTGAAATTAAATGATCTGGTTTCTTTGATCTTGTGTTTGGCAAGTATTTGAAGGAACTCATTAATATAAGAAGAGTTTGGCAAGGAGAGGCGCACAGTTCGTTCCCACAGGAATGCTGACAATTTGTTGAAAAAAAAAACGTTCATAGAAATCAATTTACATACGTCGAAAGCTAGCTTCGACGTTACCTGATTAAAAACGGTCAAGTCCAGTGCAGGTTGTGAAAGTAAACAAAAGAAAGCCAGTAGTCATTGACGTTGGGAATTATACCTTTATTATTGGATGTTAGAAAGAAATCTATAATATTGCAATATATGATGCGTTTTCCTAGATTTTCCAGAACATTCCCATTTCCTACAATTTTAATATAAAAATAAGGAAATAAGGTATGACGCCAATGAGACAACTATCCACCAAAGTTCAAATAAAGTGGATGGAAGCAATTATAGGCAACCGTAAGGCTTTCAATAATAAGAAAAAGCCATACCGTATAGTCGTATATAAAAGGCCCCGACATGAAAAATATAAAACAATTCAATTGAGAAAACTAACGGCCTAATTTATAACAAAACAATTAACGAAAAACAAATATGACAGACATGAACCAACGACAACCACTGAACTACAGGCTCCTGACTTGGGACAGGCACATAAAAAATGTGGCGGGGTTAAACATGTTTGTGAGCGCTCAACCCTCCCCTAGATGTTTAGGTGACTATTGCTTTTCCACAACTTATTTGTTTGTTTGGCAAAAGTAAACCCTGACTGGTAATGTAATACACAAACATGGATTTAAAATAAAACGAGTCAAGCTGTGTAAAATCGGCATATTGGTTTTCGATCTCATTTATAACTTCTTTTATTTTATAAATTAATTTCGAATATTGTTTTTAATTTGATGACTATGAAGAAAAAGGGTTGCATATTTTATTATTTAACAAATTTTAAAAAATCGATGTTCTCTCGAAATTTTCTTGTGTCGATTTCCAAATCGTGGGCTATTATACGGAACTTGGTTAAAAGTTGACGCCAATAAATTTTTCTTTAGAATTAGCAAGTCGTCTTCCTATTTAATTTTAAGTTTACTATTAATTATGAAGCGCGGGTGTCTTCCGACATCTTGGATGTAAGCAAGCAGAAAACAATCGGTCTAGATCTTTAATAAAATGTGCAAATCTTGAGAGAAGAATGTCTCTTTTTTTTTGTCAACACAGGCTTGCTCTGTTTGATGGGATGAAGGAATGACAAACAAACATTATGTATCAATTGAAAATTGTCTTTTAATATTAAAATGACGAAGAATCAACAAAATGATAAACATGTATAATTAAATCAATAAATCATATTTATAAACAACATATATGTTTATAATGACAAAACCTTATTGACCCATTCCATCAAAGATGGGGTTACATTCGCCATCATATTGTTACACAAAACCTTCCTTGTAACAATATCCCCCATCCAAGCCTGTGACAAAAATTTTCAGAAAACAATGAGGCCCAACTACCAACTGAAATTCACTATGAATCTAAATTATCTACATCTAACAGGTTTCATTCATGTTTCTATGATTATAACATGAGCATGTATTTACCGATTTCAACATGGCTGCCGTAGGCCCATGTCCCCATGGCAACCAAGTTAAATATACATAAATTACCTAAATTTACCATTTATATAAATATATATTTTTTATTTTTATGTTATTAATCAAGTAAAAATCGTTTTTATTCGTTTCATGTCAATATAACTATGTTGATATGTTACCAAACAGTTTTGTGTGCTTAATTTCGCGAAAGATATTAATATTTCCCACACTAGTGTATAACAATGCGTAATGTTATAGTCATTAAACTTTAGGGGGTTCCAAAATTTTATGACACCCGTATTGTCTGCAATGACAGACGGGGATGATTCATTATTGTTGGTTTAATAAACTCTTCGAAAATCAGGTTATTCCACTGCATCATTACAGGAACATATATATTGTTAGATATACTGTTCCCAGATCATTACAACCTTTATAATGACTTATGACATTTATATATAATATCTATATCCTCTCAGATTATCGTTACTCTTAAAAATAATTAAGAATGTCTCTTTTTAGAGACTAAACAATTTGTATTCTGATCGAAGTATATTCACTGGAAAAAGTAAAATCTATCGAAACGTCGCCATGCTTCATTGTAATTGTACCCAGGAACATATATATTGAATCTCGCGAAGTCTCGTGGATTCCGAGATTTTTTTATCAAGTTTATACTGAAAAGCCTATCAGATTCATTTCCAGTTAGATACATGTATATTGTTCCCAGTTGTACCACATCTCCTTTTTTTATATATGTGTACCAAGTTTCAATTTGTTCTGACCACAACTTCATGCTGTTATTTGAAATACTAATGGACAGGCTAAAAGACAGGTTAAAATGAAAAAAAATAATACTTTATTGTTAGTATAGAAAGTCCCTGGCAGGGCATAATGAAATTAATCACCAAATTTTAATTTTTTTTCATTTTAACTTGTCACGAGGCAATTTATAGGTAACAAGAATGTGTCCATAGTACACGGTGCCCCACTCGCACTATCATTTTCTATGTTCAGTGGACCGTGAAATTGGGTCAAAACTCTAATTTGGCATTAAAATTAAAAAGATCTTATTATAGTAAACATGTGTACTAAGTTTCAAGTTGATTGGACTTCTTCATCAAAAACTACCTTGACCAAAACTTTAACCTGAAGCAGGACAGACAGACGGACGAACAGACAGATTGACGCACATACCGAAAAACATAATGCCCCTAGGTGGGGCATACAATAGGTGAGAAGATACTGGTAACACCTGCGACTACTTTAAGAATATGTTAACCTCCAGATGTCTTTTTGTTATTTTGTTGTTGGGTAGCTGTATCGTTGATGTCTACACATGGCAGGTGTGTTAGACTCTAAATCTTAATTGACTAGGATTATCAGTTTTCCTACCGAAGGTTGATGGTTCTCTCCAGGGACTCCGGCTACCTCCACCAATAAAAACTGGCTGCCAAGAAATAACCAACAGTGCTGAAAGTGGTATTGTACACTAATCAATCAATCAATCGTTGATGTCTGAGATTACCATATCAAAGTCATTGAACCATAATTGAAGGTGCAGGGCCAAATAATATCTGTGGAAATGAGATATACTAATACAACTGCATGCTAAATATCATTTACTTATCATAAGTAGTTCCCCTTACACTGACCTAATCACAAAATCAACAGGTAAACTATGAAAAAATTTTCAAAGTTTATGAACCATGTCGAGCGGAGCAATCTACCTGTAATCTCAATGGAAATGAGAAGTGGCAATGCTAACAACTGCATACCAAATGTATTATGGACTAAACACTAACGTTCCTTTTAAACTGAGCTAATCAAAAACTGTAACATGTAAACTAGGTAAAAGTTTCAAAGTCTATGGACTATTCTGTTCAGTAGTTTGTGATAACTAGAGGCACTAAAGAGCCTGTGTCACTCACCTTCATCTTCAACAATGGCCACTTAAGTAAAAATCAGCATTAAAGGGGAACAACTCTATTAAGAGTTAACTGACAATTTCAGTAATGTTGACATATTTGTAGATCTTATTGTGCTGATATTTTTTCTTTTTTATAGTTTCTATATATCTGTTATAGTTTTCAAGATAATAGGCAAAAAATGTAAAAAAATATCTTTAAAGGGCAATAACTCCAAAACAAGTCGATTGAAGATTTCGACCATTATGGCTCATTTGAAGATCTTGTCTTGCTGATCATTTGTGCTATTTAAAGTTTATATCTATCTATAACAGTTTTCAATATAATAGGCATTAATGGTAAAAATTGTCATTAAAGGGCAATAACTTCAATAATGACGATTTTGGTCATGTTGACTTATTTGTAGATCTTGTCTTGTTGATCATTTTTGCTTGTATTGTTTCTATCTATCTATCATAGTTTTTAAGATATTAAGCAAAAACGCAAAAAATTGGTAAAAATCGTCATTAAAGGGCAATTACTATATAATAAGAAGTCATTTGACGATTTCGCCCATGTTGACTTATTTGTAGATCTTGTCTTTCTGATTATTTTGGCTATTTAAAGTTTCAGTCTATCCATATTAGTATTCGAGATAATAGGAAAAAATTTTAAAAATGGTAAAATTTGTCATTTTAGGGCAATAACTCCTATAAGCAGTCATCTGACAGTTTTAACACAAATAGACAATAGGTAGATCTCAACATTCTAAACATTTTTGCTCCTGTCAGAATTTCATTCAACATATTGAAATATTCAAAGTATTGGCTAACAAGTTTTAGGTTTCTGAACAGATTTTAATACAACTCCTCACTATCAAGCTACTGGCCATTTGTGAAGTCATTTTGGTTAGAAGTTACTGGAAATAGTGTGATGAAAATATTAAATATTTTTAGGTTCATCAACATATTTAACAATTAAAAGTATCAGCAAACAGGAAATGGGTGCCTAGCACTTCAGAAAAGAGCTCATAGGTTGCATTTCATCACTGTTAAGCTGACAAAACATGGAATGATTCTGTTCAGTAGTACCTGAGAAAATTGTGCCAAAAATATATGATGGACAAATGGACAGACAAAATGAATGCAATGTAACCTCCACTCTTAGAGTAGGGAGTATAAAATCAATTATAGCGGGTTTATAAAATCAAACAAAATGTTTCAATTATTTATTATTTTTTTCACTTATATTATATCAATTGCTTCAACATTACATATGCAACAATAACATTTCACATACATGCAATTCATTATGTATTATTTACTTTTTTAACATTATTTAACATCCAATAATTAAGCATAACACCATTTTAAAATGTATACTATAAAGCATAGATAAACCACAATACACAACATAAACAATATCACAGATCCTAAGATAAAAGAACAGTAAAATGGAAAAGCAATCTATCCAAAGACATACTGCAAATGCAACAATCTATCCAACAGCATGATGGAGAACCAATAATCTATCAAAAGACTTAACAAAATAACAATGGTTTATCCCAATACCTGATGGGAAAAGAAAAAAATCTATCTGAAGACATGATGGGCAGCTGTAGCCTATCCATTGACATGAAGGAAAGCAATATCCTATCAAAATAGATGATGGAAAGGAAATATCTACCTACAGATATGAAAGAAAAGCAACAGTCTATTAAAAAGAACATGATTGAAAAGCATAGACATGTTGGCCTACCGAAATTCATTTTTCTGACTCCTAGCCAACCTGTTTTTGTTCTTATTCCTTAATGCAGAATACTTAGTGAATTAGCAATCTGCAAGTCTTTTGTTTGACACGGCCAGGGATCTAAACTATGACCACCAACACTCAAGAGGATCACTCTGGTGGTTTAGACATAATGGAAAAGCATTAATGTATCCAAAGACCTGGCAAAATTCTCCTCGTAACTGGTTATGGCTTAACTGTTGTTAGGTTTATTATGTTGTTTTACTTTCTAGTAAATGCGGATGTTTTGGTGGTAGTCATCTAAATTTTGAAAATTACAGAAAAAAAAACCAACCTTCATGAAACATTAACTTTATGTATACCAAAACATTTTCATTCACCAAAGTCCTGATATCTATAGAGATATTATTAACATTATCTACAAAAAAAGTCAAGTAATTGCACTAATATTAAGGAATACTGTCTTGAGCAGTATATCATATTGCACAAGCTTGCAAGAGCAATAGGATATACTATGAGGGACATCAGAGCCAAACTTGTTTTGTTCATTAATATGTGAAAAAACACACATTTTTAAAGAAAAACGGTCCAAATCTTTTGAACAGTAGAGAAATGTTTAAAAAATTATATAACACATACATTTTCTTGCCTTTAAAAAACATTATTGTGTGAAAATTTTGTTATGGTTAAAGAAATGTTTTAATTTAATGAATAAATTCTACAAATTTAAAGGTAATTCTAAAACAATAAAACTTAGGTTGCTCATCTACATTGATCCAAGTATTCTTGAAAGTTTTGGAAAGATGAGTCTAAGTGAAATGTGTTCAGATAGACTAACTATTTGGTTAACCTTAGTATGTCCTTTCTTTAAAAGTGTATATAAAAATAAAGACCATGAAAACAAATCCTCAATTACTTGCAGTAAACGAAGAAAATGTATGTATTGTCTGTTTGTTTTTTTTCACACATTGTTGTCAATATAACCGAATTTTATGCGACTGTCATACAAGTGAGAGGTTTAGCTAGCTATAAAACCAGGTTTAATCCACCATTTTCTACATAAGGAAATGCCTGTACCAAGTCAGGAATATGACAGTTGTTTTCCATTTGTTTGATGTATTTGAGCTTTTGATTTTGCCATTTAATAAGGGACTTTCTGATTTGAATTTTCCTTGATGTTCGTTAATTTTGTTATTTTACTTTTTAATACAAAGACATAATAACTTTGTGACATATAAGCCAAGCTAAAAGAGGATTAAAAGATGTGGCACTCCTACAATGTAAAGATAGTGGTCCCTCAGACTCTACATCTGTCAATAATGATTTCATACATATGCATGCAATATATAAATTTTGAATAGGAAAACAATTCTGCTGTACTTTTAAGTCTAAGACTATACAATAACAAATACTATCAATCTCTGAAAACAAAAACTGTTAGTTTCTTTGGCAATATGGAGACTTCAGACTTTTCTGACAACAGTTATTCCGGCATCACATCTGTGAGTATTCATAGAGGGGTCTAATACTGACCATTTTCCTGTTAGAGGATCATAACATTCCACTGTGTTCAATAATGTATTACCATCATACCTAAAGCAAATAAAAATAGCACACTAAAAGGTTATAAAATCATACTAAAATTACAGCTTATATAGAATTCTGACACTTTTTAATGTTTTGTGTATTTAGCTTTCATAATTTTTAATGGATAGTTCACCTGATGACAGTTATCAAAAAAATGTGTATTCAACACTAAAATGAGTATCATATATTCATAATGTAACATGTTCAAATTCAGTGGAAAGTCTTTCTTTAGAAACTTCTATTAATTGAATTTTTTTAAACACACAATTCCATGAAGAAGTGAAAAAACAACTCTGGGTTTGAATCAGAGTGTTTCATGGAGCTTGTATGAAGAATGCCATTCAGCCAATTTGATTAAAATACAGATCCTGTGTCCACGCTTCGCTTACAAGGATCAGACAACACTTTATTCTACTTTCTGTTCTGGTAATTGTTACATCAGCCAATGAAATTTCAGCCTTCAAATTCTTGAAGGTGTGTATCATTACAAAAAAAACCAGAGGATCATGAAAGGTCTTTAAAACAGAAAGTAAAATGAAATGTTGTCAGATCCTTGTAAGCAAAACTTGAACACAGTATCTGTATTTTAATCAGATTAGCCATTCAGCACCAGCCATAACGATTGTAAAAGTCCATTTAGCAATAGCTATAAAGATTGTAAAAGTGTAAGAATTTTGTCAAACCAATCAAAATATTGGAATTCTGTAGTTGCCAAGAAATTAAAAAATTCTTTGTTTTTCAGACAGACAGAAGGATGGAATGATGGATGGAGCTAAACAACTACAGAAGATAACACAATTGTATCATTATATAAAAAACAATATTTGTGTTTACATAAAATAATATTGAAATTAAATCAATGTGAATTTATTGTCAGCTAATTATATAAACATATTTCCTCCTACATGTATCAATGATAAATATTCTTTACCCAGCAACAACTAAGAGTTTCCCTCTAAGTACACAAGCACCAACATAACATCGTGGGACCACCATTGGTTGCAGAGATGACCATTGCTGAGTGTGAATACTGTAGGATTCAACGCTTGATAAATGGTCTGTACCATCATACCCGCCGCAAACAAATATCTGTCCATTTAATACTGATACTCCAGCACCTATATATAGGTAAGAAGAAAGGAATATATATTTAATAATAGTGGTGGCCATATTTGAAGGTAATTAGAGCCTTAATCTTTAAAATGGATCATTGATATGTTTTTCTATACAAAGACAACATCCTAGCTACTGGAAGGTAATTATAATTTTATTATGTCAACATGTTTTAACTATGGACCCGCCAACTTTGGTTGGGCCATATAGTGTTAGCCTTATCTGTCATTCCGCAACGAACAGTTAAACAGACTTTTTTTCTAAACGCCTTCACATTTCACATATCGAGTCAACTATGATGAGTTACAGACTGAGTTTACGTTTGGTTCTGCTTTGCTGATTTTTGCCGAAATTACATGCTTTGGACATTGAAAAGGAGTTGGTTCACTAACTCATAATTTTGGCCCTAAAAATCTGATTTTTTTTACTGTGATGATTATGTAAAAATTGGATGAAAAAAAATGTTAAAATGTCCAAGTGTTTCAGTTAAAAAATTTCCACCAATTGCGTCATTAGGGATGTATTTGCGACGTCATAAATGTAGGTGAATTTCGTTAAAACCTGATTTTTTGCTGAATATTGCAAATTTTGATACAGTTTTCTGAAAAATTAACAGTGGCGCCACCCTTTGCCTACACATTTATTTGCTAAAATATTTTTTAATTTACCATATTCTTTACTTTTCAACCAAAATTTCAATGGGTGAGGGGTGGCACCACATATAAAATCATGATATAGGGAGCAAAGGTTGACAAATTTCAAGAAAATTGAACGAAAATGAGATCTATTCCTCTTTCAGGCTAGTATATTTATTAATACGAAGCAGATATATAATTTTTCTTCTTATACTTTCAAATATATCTCATTTAGCAAAACATACACATTATATTTACTTAAACAATTGAAATTTAAAAATTACACCTTTACAGGGCTGTTTATTAGGGTTCCTGGCTATACTCCTTTCATGAAAATAACAGTTATATGGACTTTTGTTCTAAATGCCTTCACATATTGAGCTGATTTTTAGTATGTAAGTCTACTTTGATGAGTTACAGATCAAGTTTACATTTGGTTCAGCTATGTAGATTTTTGCTGAAATTACAGGTTTTGGACATTGGAAATTTTGTGAAAATAAAAGTTATAGAGATTTTTTTTCTAAACGCCTTCAAATATTGAGCTGATTTTTAGTATATGAGTCTACTATGATGAGTTACAGATCGAGTATACGTTTGTTTCCACTTCACTTACTTATGATTAATGTTAACTTTTAACAATACATTTATCAAAATGTTTGGGCAGAACAAATCATATATTTTCATATCTATGTGATTGTATCTTCTCTTTACTATACAGTTCAAAGAGCTGCCTTTTTTATTTGGCAAATGGTGATCTAAAGAAAACCAATAATTGCAATTTCATTGTGTCTTTAGAAGCCTAAGTTGAATAATCACATCTATTCAAATTTAGCATAGAGAACTTTTATTTACCTGAACGTCTACAAGACATAGGTGATATATTGCACCATTGTTCTGTGTTAGGATCATATTTTTCTGCAGAGTCTAGAAGATTTATGCCATCATATCCCCCAACACAATAGATATTATCTCCTGCAACAACAAGTCCTGCCCCTTCACGTCCCACGGCCATACCACTTAATGTTCTCCACTGATCAGTCCCAGGATTATAACATTCCATACTGGTGTGTCTACTATACCCATCAAATCCACCACATACATATATCTCTCCTGTAAAATTGGACAGAAATTTTTTTTATCAGTAAAATATAATGCACTTAATTGAAAGAATGTGGACTGGTAATTATTGTGTGCTTGTCTTTGTATTTTTTAGCTGTGACTGTTCAGTTTTCCTCTAACACAGTTGTTTTGGAACTGATCTATTCACAAAGAGGAGTTACTATTTTTTTTTCTTGTGACTTATATTAATTTTTCATCTTTTTACTGTTGCCATATAAATCTTTAAATTTTAACTCTTAAGGATGTTCGCTATTCTGTTTCAAAATAACAAGTTTTTTAAAAGACTGATTTTAATTGATAGTATATTAATAAAGGAACTAAAAAAGCAGAAAAAAATGAAGGGTCCGTGTGCTTGTTTTCGAGATATAAGCCATTGACAATTTTGCGGGCAATGATTCTCTCTAGATTTTTCATACATTTAACATTGGCACCTTTTTTCTTTCAAAAACTATGAAAAAATAACAAGGATTTTATAAGATTTTTAAATATGGCTTTTTAAACTATATGTAATAAAATTATGAAAACAAAAGTAGGGGTTAGCGGGCAAAATTTTTAATGGCACTGCATAGATAAAACCAGAGAATTCTGAATATCTGGCAAAAATTCAAAAACAAGAGGAGCGAACATCCTTAAAAAGTAAAAATAACAAAATAACAAGAACGCACACGTTTTCAGAAGTTGGTGTCTAACAGGTCTGAAAAGTGCTCACATATTTCAACTTATCACTGTCAAGCTGCTGACCAAATATAAAGGCATTCTGTTAGGTAGTTGGACAAACGAATGTACAGACGACTGGACAAGGTAAGGGCAATATAGCCCAAATTTTAGAGTGGGGGTTTAAAATGTGAGTTTTGTGTCTGACATTTCAAATGACATATTATAATAAAATGCTCCGCAGGGCGCAGCTTGATACGACCGCAGAGGTCGAACCCTGAACAGTTGGGGCAAGTATGGACACAACATTCAAGCTTGATACAGCTTTGCATTTGGATTGTGATTAAATATTCGACACAGCATAGGTTTCTAACACAGAATGAATGTGGTCTAAGAACTTAAAAATTTTAAATTGGACATTCACCTATTTTGGTCCAATATCCAAAATCTAAATACATGGTTGGATTCAGCATATCAAAGAACCTCAAGAATTCAATTTTTGATGAAATCAAACAAAGTTTAATTTTGGACCCTTTTGACCTCAATGTGGACAAAGTTGATAACAGGGCCCAAAAATCAAAAATCTAAATACATGGTTAGATTCAGCATATCAAAGAACCCCATATATTCAATTTTTGTTGAAATCAAACAAAGTTTAATTTTGGACCCCGATTTGGACCAACTTGAAAACTGGGCCCATAATCAAAAATCTAAATACATGTTTAGATTCAGCATATCAAAGAACCCTAAGAATTCAATTTTTGTTAAAATCAAACTAAGTTTAATTTTGGACCCTTTGGACCTAAATGTAGACCAATTTGAAAACGGAACCAAAAATTAAGAATCTAAATACACGGTTAGATTTGGCATATCAAAGAACCCCAATAATTCAATTTTTGATGAAATCAAACAAAGTTTAATTTTGGACCCTTTGGACCTCAATGTGGACCAATTTGAAAACGGGGCCCAAAATCCAAAAACTAAATACACGGTTAGATTCAGCATATTAAAGAACCCCAAGAATTCAAGAATAAAACCCCATTGAAATTGGTCTAGAAATAAGCAATTTATACGAAGTATCTTCTTTTGCACAATACTGTGCAATTAAATATTTCTTGCTATTGCGCAATACTGTACAATTGACAATTTCTTGCTATTGCACAATATTGTGCTATTGGATATTTCTTGCTATTGCGCAATACTGTGCAATTGAAGATTTCTTGTTATTGCGCAATACTGTGCAATTGAAGATTTCTTGCTATTGTGCAATACTGTGCAATTGAAAATTTCTTGCTATTGCACAATACTTATTATATAATAATTTACACATCCTGTTTGGTGTGTATCTCCTACCATATCATTATTATTTGCTTTCAAATATAAATCAGAAATAACCAACTTAAAATGGAAAATTTTAAAAGAAAAAAAAAAGAAAAAAAGAAAAAAAATGAAAAAAAAAAAAAATCCCCCCCCCCAAATTTGTTGAACCCCCTTATGATTCATCACCCCCAAACTCAATTCCAGCCTTCCCTTTGTGGTATGGTACCTTGCAGTACAATTTCAGAGAGATCCTTACACTTGAACACAAGTTATTGTCTGGAAACTAGAAAAATGTGTTTTTTGGCCCCTTTTTGGCCCCAAATCCCTAAACGTTTAGGGCAATTACCCCCAAACTCAAACCCAGCTTTCCCTTTGTGACATGGAACCTTGTAGTACAATTTCAGAAAGATCCATACACTAACACACAAGTTATTGTCCTGAAACTAGAAAAATGCTTGTTTTTTGTCCCTTTTTTGCCCCTAATTCCTAAAATATTGAGGCAATTACCCCCATCATCAATCCCAGCCTTCACTTTGTGGTATGGTACCTTGCAGTACAATTTCAGAGAGATCCATATACTTGAACACAAGTTATTGTCTGGAAACTAGAAAAATTCTTATTTTTGGCCCCTTTTTGGCCCCCAATTCCTAAACGTTTCGGCAATTACCCCCAAACTCAATTCCAGCTTTCCCCATTGTGATATGGAACCTTGTAGTACAATATCAGAAAGATCCATACACTTACACACAAGTTATTGTCATGAAACTAGAAAAATGCTTGTTTTTTGCCCCTTTTTTGGCCCCTAAATCCTAAAATTTTGAGGCAATTACCCCCAAAATCAATCCCAGCATTCCTTTTGTGATATGGAACCTTGTGGTACAATGTCAGAGAGATCCATACACTAACACACAAGTTATGTCTGGAAGTTACAAAAATGCTTATTTTTGGCCCCTAGTTCCTTTACTGTTGGTACCATAACCCCCAAAATCAATCCCAACCTTCTTTTTGTGGTATTGAACCTTGTGGTAAAATTTCATAGAGATCCATTCACTTAAACTAAAGTTAGAGTGCGAAAACCAATGTGTCTTCGGACGACAACGGCAACGACGACGCCAACGTCATACCAATATACGACCACAAAATTTTTTTTGCGGTCGTATAAAAATCTGCTTGAATAGATAAAAATTTGACAAATCCATAACTATGCTATTATTGTATTTAACAATGTCAACCTGAAACAAGGCATCTATTTGTAAGATTAATAATTTCGGCCTAATTCTAATTATCAGGGATAAACTTCATGTTGTATCGACACATAAAAGGCATATAGCCTATCAATAAAGCCATATTTTTTTACAAGTTAAAACCAAGGACATAATAATTATATTGACATTATCAAGTACTATATAAAAATAAGGAGATGTGGTATGATTGCCAATGAGACAACTATCCACCAAAGTTAAAAGGAAGTGGATGTAAGCAATGGCAACCGTACAGCCTTCAACAATGAGAAAAACCCATACCGTATAAACAGCTATAAAAGGCCCGACATGAAAAATATGAAACAATTCAATTGAGAAAACTAACTTCTATAATTCTTGACTATAGAAAATATTTCATTTTGGTACGACAAAATTTTTCACACTTGGAATACATTTTTTTTCAGTATTGACAATATTAATGCAATAATCACATCAATAAATAACTCTCATAAATATCTGTTATACCTCTGTAGACACAAACTCCAGCTAATCCCCTTCTCTGTGTCATAGCTGAAACAGACTGCCACTGTGGATCATCTGAAGACAGGTCTAAACATTCCACCAAACTCAATCTTGATTGGCCATCATAACCACCAATAATATAAACCTTTCCATTTAATGATGCAGCAGCAACATATCTTCTTCTTTTTGATAAATTCTATAAAAAAGTGTTTCATTGTTAAAATAGCTCAGCTGGAAATATGCATATCTGATTAAATAAAGATACTTTTACTTTATCTTTATCATTAAATGAAATGCTTATCCCTAAAGAACTTAAAACTTGTAACAATCAAACAATATTTCTGCTGATGATATTTCTAGGAGTATTTTCTAAATCACAGCTATCAACTTATTAGATACTTTTTACAGAAGTAAATCAAAGCCTCAGCATTATATTTCTATCATAATTGGATGAGTTACATTTTTTATTAGGGTTTAAATGTCTTTAAAAAAATCTTTGTCAATAAATTTTCATGAAAAAAAACCTTTTTTTTAAATTTATTTTTGTTACAACATTGCAATGAGATATAATTTTCTTTAATAACCATAACCATATGAAATTTAAGGTATTTACAGGTTTGCGAGTCCATTGTTCAGTTTTAGGATCATACTGTTCAACAGCTTCTACCATGTTCTGGTGAGATCCAAATCCTCCCATTACAACAAGTATGTCATCTGTACCTGTACAATATCAAATTTCTAGTTTTATACATATATATTCTTTGTCCCTTTTCAAGGAAGATGCAGAATTCTATTTACTTTGAAAAGGTGTATTTTTGCAGGGTTTACATTTTCGTGTTTTCAAACGCCAAACTGGTTTGTGAGGTTTTATTTCGACATTTTTCTTGTCCAACAGTATGATCTTCTATAAAGATTAAATGTACAGGAGGGGAAATTTTCAGGTTTTTATGTCAAAAGTGAAATTTGCCAAAATAAACCCATTGAAAAATTCTCCTACTTAAATAGCTGCCCAGTCCATCTAAAGAGATTATGTTTAAGGTGCATACAGCCATATACGGTAAATTCAGAAATAATTGCGTGCATTCATTATTGCATTTTTTGAAGACTGGACAAACATGTGAGATCAATTATTGCAATTTCAGGCAGATTTGCATACAGATATATGTATAAGATATCGGAATGTGAGTTCTTATTATTGCAATACTCACCCAGTTGCATAAAGCCACATTATTCGCATTAATAAAAACCTCGCAATAATTTCTAAATTTACAGTCATGACGATACTGTGGATGCATTTATTTTGTGGGTATCAATTTTCGTGGATTGAGGAAAACTATTATTTTCATGCATATTTGATTTCTTGGTTTTGACAAAGTCTGCATAAAAGCATGTAGAAAATTTGTAATTTGTTGATCATTTAAATTTGTAGTTCACCTGTACCCACGAAATACAACGAAATTGGTGTCCCACGAATAATATTTAATCCACAGTTTAAGTTACTACAAATGTGTTAAAACCATAAAAATATTCTCATCTGATATACATGTAATATCTGTCACTGGACATTAACACATCATCACCCATGCATATGTCATGTCTTGCCTTTTATTAAAAAATGTATAACAGTATATGAATTAAAAATATTTTAAATTGGTACAAACTCATGAGGAGACTTTTAAGGATCCTGATAAAGATGATACAAATGAGTTTATAAAAATCAAAATTTGTATATCAAACAAGCCTTTTGCAGCTGTATAGACAGCTTGAAGGTTAAGATTGTAATTTGTTATACTAGAAAACAGCCATTAAAAGATTTGAAATTATGAAAAGGATACTCTATTATGTGTAGGCATTATTATTTTTTATGTTAACTTTCAATAATTAGACCTTACCTATACGTTGCTTTGTCCTTGTGCCACACATCTGATTCCTCAAGTCAGGTCGCAAATGGAACTTCTTAGCTTCATCAAGTAAATCTCTACATTCATGACTCTTTTTAATTAACACCTAAATGAACAAATTGATGAGGTTTTAATTTCAATAAACAGTAATTTTTTGGATAATATGGAAGTTTAAATGCATTGTTTTTCATATTCAGACATAATTTAATGTGAACACCATGCATTATTCACTACATACCTAAATAAAATGCTCCGCTGGGGCACAGCTTGATACGACCGCAGAGGTCGAACCCTGAACAGTTGGGGCAAGTATGGACACAACATTCAAGCTTGATACATCACTGAATTTGGATTGTAATTAAATATTTGAAACAGCATAGGTTTCTGACACAGAATGAATGTGGTCTAAGAACTTAAAAATTTTTAATTTACCTTTTCAAACCATATCATTATTATTTGCTTTTATATATAAATCAGAAATAACCAATTTAAAATGGAAAATTTCAAAGAAAAAAAAGGAAAAAAAAATCCCCCCCCAAAATTTTTTGAACCCCTTATGATTCATCACCCCAAACTCAATCCCAGCCTTCCCTTTGTGGTATGGTACCTGGCAGTACAATTTCAGAGAGATCCATACACTTGAACACAAGTTATTGTCTGGAAACTAGAAAAATGCTTGTTTTTTGGCCCCAAATTCCTAAACGTTTAGGGCAATTACCCCCAAACTCAAACCCAGCTTTCCCTTTGTGATATGGAACCTTGTAGTACAATTTCATAAAGATCCATACACTTACACACAAGTTATTGTCCTGAAACTAGAAAAATGCTTGTTTTTTTTGCCCCTTTTTGGCCCCTAATTCCTAAAATTGTGAGGCAATTACCCCAAAATCAATCCCAGCCTTCCCTTTGTTGAATGGTACCTTGCAGTACAATTTCAGAGAGATCCATACACTTGAACACAAGTTATTGTCTGGAAACTAGAAAAATGCTTATTTTTGCCCCTTTTTGGCCCCTTATTCCTAAACGTTTTATGCAATTACCCCCAAACTCAATTCCAGCTTTCCCTTTGTGATATGGAACCTTGTAGTACAATTTCATAAAGATTCATACACTTACACACAAGTTATTGTCATAAAACTAGAAAACTGCTTGTTTTTTGCCCTTTTTTGGCCCCTAATTCCTAAAATTTGGAGGCAATTACCCCTTAAATCAATCCCAGCATTTCCTTTGTGATATGGAACCTTGTGGTACTATGTCAGAGAGATCCATACACTTACACACAAGTTATTGTCATGAAACTAGAAAAATGCTTGTTTTTCCCCCTTTTTGGCCCCTAATTCCTAAAATTTGGAGGCAATTACCCCCAAAATCAATCCTAGCATTCCATTTGTGATATGGAACCTTGTGGTACAATGTCAGAGAGATCCATACACTAACACACAAGTTATGTCTGGAAGTTACAAAATGCTTATTTTTGGCCCCTTTTTGGCCCCTAATTCCTTAACTGTTGGTACCATAACCCCCAAAATCAATCCCCACCTTCCTTTTGTGGTATTGAACCTTATTGTAAAATTTCATAGAGATTCATTCACTTAAACTAAAGTTAGAGTGCGAAAACCAATGTGTCTTTGGACGATGACGACGACGACGCCAACGTCATACCAATGTCTAAAGTTAATATCATAGATTTGATATAGAGTCCGATTTAATGGAAACTACAGAATGCAATGTTCTGAATGGATTTAAGGGAGGGGGGAGGGGTGGAGGGGGGAGGGGGGTGTACATGAGACAAAGGACACTTTTGGCTAAATTTGGTTCTTAAATGGATCTTTTTCTTAATGCTAGGTAAAACAAACCTCTGCATAAGAATATAAAATAGGCTCCAAAGTCTGCACATTATGGAGATGGATGTTGTCAAAATATGATATTAGAAAAAACTTGGCCACAACCTATGATTCAAATGTTCTAGAGTGTGACTGAGAGGTGCCAATGTTTATATTGAATCCCTAGACACCACAATTTTTGGATCAGGGGTTGCTTCCACAGCAAACAGTACTAAAAATTGTTATAAATTATGGAAAAATTGGACCAAACTGACATTACAACATAAAATAATACATAACTAAGGGGACATAACTTCATAATTTATAATGTGTTGTGCCAAAAAGAAGTCATTCTGTATCAATAGTTATATCACTACAATTTCTATGTTAAATTTGTAGTACTTTATCATTAAACAAACTTTTAAATCTTATGGCAAATTTTAACCCTTTGTGAACCTATAATTTAATCAACTTGTGGAAAATCAAAATTTATCAAACTTGTCAAAATCAGTTTAAATGCATAATTTCAGAATTAGAGAATCAATCAATATATAATACATGTACCATAAATGATACTGTAACTACTTACTTCTTCATCAGCAACATCTGTTATAAATTTGGCTGTTAAAATTGGCAGACGAACATGATGCAACAACCGTGGTAACAGATGTGTACGAGATTCTTCTTTATGTTTTACCCAATTGATAACTGATTGATAAACTGGCTCTTCTGTGTTCACCTTTGATTTTAAAAAAGATTTATACATGTATTATCAAAAATATTTCAGAAAAACTGAAATACTGGTTGCCTTTCTAATATTTTGACATACACTTTAAATATGTCCTAAAAAATAAAAATTCCAAAGGTTTTTTAAAATCTTATAAACATCACCAGTAACTGACACAGCAAATGGTAATGCATGCTCACTTAATGCTTGATACCAAATTTCAGGAAGCTCTGATTCTTAGTTCCTGAGAAAAAATGAAACGAAAATTTCATACATTGCCCTTATGTGTAAGTATATACATTGTATAAGTGTTCGGTAATCAATAAACTGGCTACATGAGCAATGGATGTAAAAAGAAATCACACAGTTTAGCATGCTCACAGGAATCTTGATATCAAGGGGCAGCAGGGGTATAATAAATTTAAACAATAGATTAACAATTTATTTGTTAGACCAGGAGGTAAATATCTGTAGGATTCTAATCACATGCAAAGTGTTGAAAAAACACAGGTAGCCTCATCAATTAAACACCCTGTAAAAGGTGAGTCAGATAAACCTTTGGACAAGACACAGTTAATAAGTAGTTGGTTTACATGTATTGTGGGATACTCTCAAAAATGTTAGTTTTATTACCTTAATTGCTGTCCAGATCAATTCAGGACAAAGCTGGTGTCTAAATGACAAAATAATTGATCATCATACTTCTGAATATTTATGTAAAAAAAAGAAGAGATACTAAGGGGCAATCAAAACTCAAAAGTCAAAGAAAAACAGATACCGGTAACACCATTGTTAAAAGAAAAACAATGAAAAGACAAACAAAAGTCATGAAAACACTGTACAGATATGGCATACTATTTTGATATTTCATGGTCCTTGCAGAGTGAGAGATAATATAAAACAAATCCTCATTGAAAACGTTATTATTAGATATGTACATGTATGTTAATAGTTGTGGCATTGTATCAAAGGTTGCCTCAATTTGTTTTGAGGGTTTTTGCTTTTACGTTTTTTTGGCTGTTTCATTTTAGTAAATTCTTACCTGCAGGCTATCACACTTGACCAGGGATTCTACTTGGTCTATAGGTAAAGTTTTAAATTCATCATATTTAATGATTTCTTCATAGTGTTTCAAACAGAAACTGTCTGCAGCCTCAAGGAGCTCATTACAACTATGCTGCTCAGCAAATATTTTAATACCTAAACAATTTGTAGCATCAAGCTGCTTTTCTAGAAAGGAACTACAAGCCTGCTTAACACCTACAATATAAAGCATTCATAGTTGGTAATAGTTGTTGAACTCTGAAAGAAAAATACTTTTAATCAGATGTAAAGAGATCTATCACAACAATGGACACATGATGGAATTGCATTTTTTTCAGATATCATTCTTTTCAATAGTGTTTAGGATTTCATAATAACTATTCCAGTTTGTGTTCATTTGGAAAAATAGCCCTTCCAAGAATTTTATGTGAGAAAATAAGGACCTTTACAAATGTTTTAATAGTTTTACAATTATTTCAAAAGCACGAAGCAGCACTATCAAACTATATTGCTAATACGTGTACATGTATTTGTATTTATGAAGCAGTCTTTTTTCCTGACAATAATGGTCAAACAATTCTAGAGAAAGAAAACATAAAAATTATCAAACTTTTTGTACAATGAAAGTCAATGTTTATGTGCATCATTACCTGTGATCTGAAGCAAGCTGGCTGCAGGAAGTAATTCCTGGACATTCTCTTTTTCTGTACATTAACTTATGCACTGAAGCAGACAAGCTGCTGGAAGTGATACCTGAACATTCCCTGTTTCTGTGTATTTACCCGTGAGTTAACGCAGACAAGCTACAGGAACTAATTCCGGATTATTCTCTGTTTCTGTGTATTTACCCATCAGTTGAAGCAGACAAGCTACAGGAACTAATTCCTGAACATTCTCTGTTTCTGTGTATTTACCCAGGAGTTGAAGCAGACAAGCTACAGGAAGTATTTCCTGATTATTCTCTGTTTCTGTGTATTTACCTGTGAGCTGAAGCAACCAAGCTACAGGAACTGATATCTTATTATTCTCTGTTTCTGTGTATGTACCTGTGAGTTGAAGCAGACAAGCTGCAGTAACTAATTCCTGATTATTCTCTGTTTCTGTGTATTTACCTGTGATTTGAAGCAGACAAGCTACAGGAAGTATTTCCAGATTATTCTCTGTTTCTGTGTATTTACCTGTGAGCTGAAGCAGACAAGCTGCAGTAACTAATTCCTAGACCTTTTCTACACTGACATTTACCAGTGAGCTGAAGCAGACAAGCTACAGGAAATAATTCATGAACATTCTCTGTTTCTGTGTATTTACCTGTGAGTTGAAGCAGACAAGCTGCAGTAACTAATTCCTGATTATTCTCTGTTTCTGTGTATTTACCTGTGAGTTGAAGCAGACAAGCTACAGGAAGTATTTCCAGATTATTCTCTGTTTCTGTGTATTTACCTGTGAGCTGAAGCAGACAAGCTGCAGTAACTAATTCCTAGACCTTTTCTACACTGACATTTACCAGTGAGCTGAAGCAGACAAGCTACAGGAAATAATTCATGAACATTCTCTGTTTCTGTATTTTTACCTGTGAGCTGAAGCAGACAAGCTACAGGAACTAATTCCTGATTATTCTCTGTTTCTGTGTATTTACCTGTGTCCTGTGAGTTGAAGCAAACAAGCTACAGGAACCAATTCCTGGATATTTCCTACACTGACATTTACCTGTTAGTTGAAGCAAACAAGCTACGGCAACTAATTCATGAACATTCTCTGTTCATGTGTATTTATCAGTGAGTTGAAGCAGACAAGCTACAGGAACTAATTCCTGAACATTCTATGATTCTGTGTATTTACCTATGAGCTGAAACAGACGAGCTACAGGAACTAATTCCTGATTATTCTCTGTTTCTGTGTATTTACCTGTGTCCTGTGAGCTGAAGCAGACAAGCTACAGGAACCAATTCCTAGACATTTTCTACATTGACATTTACCTGTTAGTTGAAGCAAACAAGCTACGGGATTAATTCATGAACATTCTCTGTTGATGTGTATTTACCAGTGAGTTGAAGTACACTGACATTTACCTCTGAGTTGAGGCAAACAAGATACAGGAACTAATTCCTAGACCTTTTCTACACTGACATTTACCTGTGAGCTGATGCAGACAAGCTACAGGAACTAATTCCTAGACCTTTTCTACACTGACATTTACCTGTGAGCTGAAGCAGACATGCTGCAGTAAGTGATTCCTTGACATTTTCTACCCTGACATTTACCTGTGAGCTGAGGCAAACAAGCTACAGGAACTAATTCCTAGACCTTTTCTACACTGACATTTACCTGTGAGCTGATGCAGACAAGCTACAGGAACTAATTCCTAAGACATTTTCTACACTGACATTTACCTGTGAGCTGATGCAGACTAGCTACAGGAACTAATTCCTAGACCTTTTCTACACTGACATTTACCTGTAAGCTGATGCAGACAAGCTGCAGGAACTAATTCCTAGACCTTTTCTACACTGACATTTACCTGTGAGCTGATGCAGACAAGCTGCAGGAATTAATTTCTAGACCTTTTCTACACTGACATTTACCTAAGAGTTGAAGCAAACAAGCTACATGAACTAATTCCTATACCTTTTCTACACTGACATTTACCTGTAAGCTGATGCAGACAAGCTGCAGGAAATAATTCCTAGACCTTTTCTACACTGACATTTACCTTAGAGTTGATGCAGACAAGCTACAGGAACTAATTCCTAGACCTTTTCTACACTGACATTTACCTGTGAGCTGATGCAGACAAGCTGCAGGAACTAATTTCTAGACCTTTTCTACACTGACATTTACCTGTGAGCTGAAGCAGACAAGCTGCAGGAAGTAATTCCTGGACATTTTCTACACTGACATTCACAGTTTCTGTGTAAACAAAATCTAGTAAAACTCTCATCACATCAGCTGATATTTCATGTAAGGTTATTACACTTTTATCCTTCTCAGACATCTAAAAAAAATTGGAAAATATATTTTTACAATCATGTTTGTTTGGTTGCCAATTACGAATTAATTATTCATTTCTTCCAAAACAACACTCATGTCTTTAAATGTTTCTGTATGCAGTGTCAATTTATCTTATTTATTGCTTTAGTATTGATAAAAATTAATGGAGAATGTGTCCATGGACAGAGATGATGCCCCCACTTGCATATAACGTTATAAAAGGACATAACTAGAGAATTATAAAAGTGACACCACCCAAAATCGAACTGATCTGTGTTTTGTGGAAATAAGCATTGTGTATAAGTTTTATAACATTTGGTTGAGGCAAACTAAAGTTAGAGAAGGGAAACCAATTTCGGGAAGTTAGAACGTACAGACGGACAAGGGTAAACCTTAATGGCCCCTCTGCTATGGCGGGGGCATAAAAACTTTAACTAATGTAAATTTCATTGAAAATTATATACAAAGCAAGTATCTTAAATGTATTCAACTACCGGTAATGAAAAGATTATGGTGAAAATTATGTTTTGTACTTGGGAAATAAAGTATATGGTTGTTTTATTCAGTAAAAGAAGCTTCAGGGCACTGGTTGTCTTAGTTTATAGAGACTTGTTCTTTAGGGGTAGTCTCTGAACATGGTTAATTGTATTCACATCATCTTTTAACAGAGTGGTTAACAGTATAAACACTTGCTTTTTTGTTGACAAGTAAATGTTGCCCTCTTAGAAAGTCTGAAGTTTTCTGGTTTTAATGGGTGTTAGGTTTGCTCTTTTGCTGCATACCCCATCTCTATTTTTATTCAACTTGAAGATGTCAGGTATACATCAATAAGACAACGTATAATCAAAAGATATGAAACTAGATTGTTGATTGTTGCTTGATTTACTCCCAATGACAATTATTTCATGCATATTCAAGATGACATGAAACCATAAAATAGACACTTACAGGGCAATAGTTGATCATCAAGAATGAACATTTGTTTACTTTCACTACCGGTACTTACTTCATTTGTAAACATGGCACAAAAGTAATCACTACAGGCTGCCAGTACAACTCGATGAGCTGGAAATTCTTCTCCATCAACTTGTAACACAATATCACATAGTTTGTTAACCTTCCGTAAATTGTTCATTGTTGTCAAAATAGATTTAGCATGACTGTCTGTAAATATCTGTTGTGTTGTAATGATACTGTTCATACTGGTTGTCATTGTCAAATGATGAAAATGTCCAGCTTATTTTACTATAAGGTCACATTTTATTTGTGGTCTTCACATCACATGTAAATTGCACAACTATATATTTCCTTCATGTTTATTAATTGTAAGAATATTTAACAACAATATGAATTATATTTTTCAACTAAAATTGGATGTTGATTTGAATAAGTTTTTCATGATTACTTGTATAATCACTTTAATTTAACAGATCAAAATTTTAAAGGTATATTTTCTTCAAGGTCCTGTATCTTTTCTCTTTATACATGATTTCAACTCCATCTCAGTCAATACTTCCTGAAAAACTGAAATATAAAAATTAAATTTTTGTGCTTTCACTTTTCCATCATGCTACATGTACATGTACTTTATATTAGTGGAAGAAAACAGACAACAGTGAAGCAAACTGTTCTATAAAAGAAATTTTTCAGCAAAACTGATGTCATGGCAGATCTTAGATATACACTCTTATAGTTTTCTATACTCTTACATAATTAGATTTTAACATATTGTATTGTATATAGTTGAAAATTGTATATAGTTAAAGATTGTACATATTTGATGACCTTCAGATGTTATTTTTGTATTCTTATATATTGCTTTCTCATATCTGTTTCGTCTGTATCCCATCAAGATGAATGGTCTACATTGTACATGTATACATTTGTAGCTATCAACCATTTCAAATACCAACAGCAGCTGTCTATTTTATCTTTTAGAGTGAATATTTAAATTTCATATATACATGGGTGGTTTAGTCTCCCACTTTGGAGAAAAAATGTTTATATTTTCTCCTCTTTCAAGTTGAGTTTCAAACAGCGATATATTATAAGTAGCTGTTTTTGTTTTTTTTTTAAATTTACAAACTATGTGTAATGAATATCAGCGTGTTCAACTTAACCTAAAAAAAATTAATGAAATTGTATAGAAAGCTTTAATTCTAAAATCTAAATTCTCAATAGCATTTTCTAAAAGTCATTTCATAAAAGGTGTTGGTAAGCGGACAGAAAGTCACAAATTTGACAGGACAAAAAGTCACAAATAATTTGTTTATAATTGTTTGAATTAAATACATGTAGAAGTGAAAGTTCTTGAAATAATTTATTTTTATTACATATATTCATTTTAATTTAGGGAATTGTTCTGGGTCCGTTTGCCCTTATACCTTAAAAACTGAAGACCAAGTAATCTGCATGTATCTACACTTGAGAGCAAAGGAGCAAAGTTTAAAAAAAAAATGCCCTTTCATGTCTTACAATTTCGTAAATGCATTGTTTTTACTCATCCCAAGCTGACTATAGTTTACTTTAAAAAAAATGTTAGTCCCTGCTTACATTATTAGACCACCAAAGAAAATCAATAAAACAATCAGTTTGATCAAGACACATACCTGTCAACCTATGAAACTGAAAATGCAGGTCATGACCTGCATTGAAGAAGAAAATGTCAGGTCATAATGCGTATGAACTTTTTTGGTCCAATTTTAGTATTGAAAGTTTTTTTTATATACTATAACATATACATGTACCACTGAGTTTCCTAAAAATAATCACTTTTGTATTTGATAGGTATATAAATATTTATCATTAATTAAATATCTTTCTAAAGCATTGCCCTTTTATTGTTTTATTCACACTAGTTTTACTTCCTTTTACTTATGAATGTCATAAACCCCAGCTAACCAATTATAGCTAATGTGCTCCTATACACAGGAGGAAGATAAATAGAAAGAAGTTAGTGTGTTTCCTTTCAGTGTAATATCTAGAGCATATGGATTTGATTTAAAGCTTTTACATTTAAGTGATAACAAAATTATTCTCTCCAACAGAAATGTATTAAAAGGTTCAAATTGTTTTAAAATGATTTTTACAGGATATTTGATATTTGCAAACGGCAAATCTTTTAATCAGGACATAGACTTGTATGTAAAGCTTGACTGGCTTCAACTTTCTGTGGTACAATTAACAAACAATCCTCGAATTGTTACTTTTCAATCAAATGTAATGTTTTGATAGCTGTCATTGGCACGGTAAATAAGCAAATTCTAATTTCAATTGTTTACCTTTTCAAAGGAAAAACGCTGAGAAAACCGAAAGTATATATATTTGACTTCTAAATACCAGTCAGAAATACGGGTGAAAACAGGTTGTTTTCTGAAATCCCGGGTTATTTGAATACCCGGCGGGTATTTAAATCAAAGCATCGTCAATGTTGTGATCCAGCCATATTCATAGCTAGTCTATTCTTTTTCAAATATTTTTTCTCTTTTCATTTCCAATCTTACTGTAAAATTTCTATGTTAATGTCCAAAGCTAGGGAATTTTGCAATATTGATGCAAATATTGCTATATATATTGATTTTTCAATTTTAGATTCTGTCAGATTTTTATTTTAATAAATATTTGCAATTTAATGGTATTGACAAGAATGGAAAGGGAAATTGTCAAACAAGTAATATATTTGTTTATATGCCATTAATTATAACTGGCTTAATAATTTCCAGAAAGAGGCCTTGGAAATGCACTTTCTCAACAACAAAAATAAAAAAAATAATAACTATTTTTATCTGAATTGGTGTTCATTCTTCATGAAGAAAAAATACATTTCCTGTATTCAAATTTAAATGTACAATAATAAATATTGAATCTTGAATCTACAATTACCTAATGCTGAGATATTTCCATTTGCTGTTAAATAGCAATATAATGGGATATAAATGTAGAACAAACAAATAAATTTTATTGCAGAAAATGCTCAGGTTAGAGTTATGCAATTTTGTTTATTGTTTCAACCAATTTTCTGATAATTGTAACTAATTAATTAGAACTTGATTATTGACTTATGTCAGATGATAATGACACTGATTTTACAAGTGAAATAAAATTTGCTTGCATTTTTTATACATATTTTTTTCATTTTTTGTCTTTTCTTTGAAAAAAAACCACATTTGATTAATCATTCAGCTAGCTAGCAAAATTAACAGAATATTTTAATGTAGTGTAGATTAAAATAAATAATACATTTGTAGATTTACTATTGAGGTCAAGAATGTGTGTATTCAGTTAGGTGTGTAATAAATTGTGTCTATTTAATTATGTAACAGGTCATGAGATATTAACTGTTGTGAATTAAGACTGGGGTTGTTTCCAATTAATACTTACACCTTTGAGTGTAATTATTTGAAAATCATGACAGTTGATAATCATACTGACTCTTACTTGCCTGTGGAAAGAATTGGAGTAATACCATTTTAAAAAAGTGTGGGAATCAACTTAGATATATTAATACACTTATTGACCCAAATTTCATTGAACAATAACTTACACAACCATAAGATACTAATATAATTCATTCAAAATTCTTATCAACTGATTCAATTGATGTACAAATACTTTTTCAAATTAATTCTTAAATAGTAAATCATTATAAATTTTGATTTATAAAGGAACCATATACAAGTGTATATCTAAAATAAATGGGTTGTTCGGCCAATCTTTTCTTAATTTAAGGGCAAATAACATGTCAAAAGTTGACAGTTGATGATTAAAATGGTGTAGAAAGTTTCTGAAAGTCATAAAAATACATAATTAGTTTCATGATATGTCTTCAACTTAGTATTCTGCACCATCTCCAAAACCAGAGTGATCGCATAGATCCAGCATGGCTGAATCAAAAATCCTGTGTGAAGGGGGAAATTCTCTGGTGTAACCTGCAGAATACGGATCAGTTGACAGCTATGAAGACATCATAATCATACCTTATTAGCATTCTTATTTACAATCAACTGTAATAACAATTAATTCTAAATAATAACAAACATGACAAATGTACCAATTAAGCCAATCGTTGGTAGAAAAAAAGCAATTAATTTAAAATTATTTTCATGTTTTTTTCATGAATTTTGAGGTATGCATTATCTTTCATATTTACCAAAATAAATACTCTGCAGAGGTCTGTAAAAACATAATTACTAGATATATTGATAATTTTATTAAAAATAGGGTGAATGAACTCATGGGCGAACGCCACAGGCGAACGGACCATATACCTTGGTAAATGAAGGTTTATCAAATTTAATCATGCAAAGAATATATTTCTGGGCTCTACAAAGCTATTCAAGTATCAAGCCACCTTGACAAATTGGGCAGCAAGACATTTCGGCACCCAAGTCCGAAGACATTTCGGCAACCATTTTCGACATTTCGGGATCCGAACATTTCGGGACCAAGACAATTCGGCACCTCTTTTTTTAAAATATATTTATTAGGGAAAAATAGAGGATTGTTGCAGTAATATTATAATTCGTAGAATATGCATTACTAAAAAATAATCATCATTTAATTAAACCCTAAATAATTATGTATGTATGAATAAACATCATTTAATTAAATCATAATTGATTGTTAGATATGTTGTTGTTTGAATAAACATTATTTGATTAAATCATAATTAATTGTAGTTATGCATTAATCAGTATTGTATGTATAAATCTGATAATTCCTCAGGCTCAATAGAGATCAAAAGTGTATAGCTTGTGTTCTCGTTTGATCCTTACATTTGTTAAGACAACACAATACCTGAAAACTATATTTTATTGTTTTAATATTAAAAGCTATAAACATAACAGCGTGTGCAAGCCATAATGAGTAAATACCCAGAAACATATATAAAGGTCAACACTTTTGAAATCCTTTTCTTACACATTGTCAAACGACAGTTGTATACAGTGCCACAATATTGTGCGCCCTAGACAAGAGGCTTTACAATGTGGTGGCTGTCAAAAGTGGCAACTATGGTAATAGAACTATGCATTACATTAAAACTAGTACATGAATGGTGAAATCTATAAAATCCGAATGTTCATTGTATCAGGAAAAAGAATACACACAAATAAGACACCTATCAAAATGACTAAGCTTTCAATACAGTCTTCACAAATAATTAACAAAAAGAATACACCACTTAATAAGATACTTCTTCGAAGATACCATATACAATGTTGACAATAATGTTATAAATAGTGCAGGAAACAAATTAGTAATTTGTAAAAACAGTCAAACATAATTGCTATATATTAACACTAAACTTGCAGATTGAGTTCAGGCCCTCATACATATATCAGTGCCAGGTAATTTTAATTTTTGGTTCACTATATTTAGATCAAAGATAAAATAATTAATAAGGTGCTGATTTGTCTATGTTAGGTGCCGATTTGTCTAGGTGCCGATTTGTCTGGGTGCCGAAATTGTTTTCTTGAGGTCAATCATCTGACTTGGTCAGTTTTTTCTGCTTTCATGTGTCAAATTAACACAGGTTAAAATGATTAGGAAGCATTTACCTGACATACCTGGGGCATTAAACAGTAACATGCAAGGCCCTGTGGATTATCATACAATAATGAGTGCCAGTTTTATTACCAGAGAAAATTTCCATCAAAATTATCAACCTGCACGACAAGAAAGAAAAGGATGCAAATAAGCAGCATCCATCAAATAAACATTTTCCAAAAGCGATCTATTACCAAATTTTTACTTGCTTGACCGGAAATTTCACAGGTGCTTCATGTGGAGCAGGAACTACATACCCTTCCCGAGTGCCTGAAATCACGCCCAGTTTTATTTGGGTTCATGTTGCTCAGTCTTTAGTTTTTTTATTTTATGTTTATTTGTTTTATTATTGTTGTTTGTCTTTTTGTAGTTCTTAGTGTCTGTTTTATTTGACACTATTTTCGATTGTTCCAAGTGGGATCTTCATTTTTTCAACTGGACATTGAGAACTACAACAGGTTACAAGCATATAATTTTACCGATGTCACACCTTTATTTTATCTTTTAACAGGTGAATAATAAATCTGTAAAACTTGGATTTGGAAGGAAAATCTGCAAAATCTTCAACCAAATCTGGTCCTTCGTTGTATTTGATCGCAAAATAAGTGAACCAGTCCAGAGAAGTCTAAATTTAAAACCAATTCTGGATAATCTCGTTTCCGAATTGTTTCAATAAAGTAAATCCATGATATAAAACCTGTCATTGCTTGAAATTATTTTTATATGATAAATCAGAGACATATATACACATGTGTGTATATATGTCTCTGGATAAATGATTTTAACTTTATTTTCAAATTAAACCCAAACGTGTCAAACAAAAACACAAAATATAACACACTTAGTAACACACAAATCAATAATAACAAGATTAGAATAAACACATACACCCCGGCAAAACAAAACTTGAAGAACATAGATATATTTATTAAAGTTATTGGTCACATGATGTAGTAACGGTCAAGTGATTGTTTACTATAAACACGTGCTTGTGTTCATACTAAGCACGTGGTTTGTGTTTATGTTAGTCATGATTGGATGGCATATACCCGCAATGTGGCTTTTACGGGTATATGCAGCTCATGAGATTCGTGAAAAGCATGATTAAGTATTACTTGAGGGGTTCGTTTGAGAAATTAAAGTTATTCGAGGTTTGCCTAAAATTTACGTAGCAGCAGTTCGTTATTATGTTAACCCAGCCACCCATCCTTTTTGAGTTGATCATTGTTAATGTGGGTATATAAATATATTAAATTATATTAATCTGTATTTTTCCGGCCTCTTTTGTAGATAGATTTTGTTTGTGTATACTATTATGATTGGATTGGTAGTGCTTGCCTGAATATTTATAGTAAAGGACTTTATTTTGAAGCATATTTATTGTAACATATATTAAACGCTGCTACTGGCACATGTAGGCACACTTATCCTTTTTATGTGTTGTTTTATTTATCATAAATAATTCATATTCATTATATTTATTTCAGTAAAGTTTGATAGGCCCTGTATCACATACAACGGTCAGGAACCTGCATGCGGTCTGCCATTTTTGCTTTTCGTTCATTGTTGTTGTATAAATCAGGCCATTGACTTACTTTTTTTAATTGTTTCACATTTAGTCATACCAGAATAATTAAAAGCTTACTATACGGTATGAGTTTTGCTCGTTGTTGAAGGTCGTGCGGTGACCTGTTATTGTTCACATCTTTATCATTTAGTCTATATAGATAGTTGTCTCAAGTTGACAATCATGCCACATCTTTTTATTTAAGGAATGACTGTAATATTTTTTCTGTCTATGAAGAAATAACATCAAAAAATGTGGTGCACACTGAATAACCCGCGTAGCGGGTTATTTAAAAGTGTGCACCACATTTTTTATGTTATTTCGAATAGACAGAAAAAATATTACAGTCATTCCTTATAATTTAATTCTAAATTCCATTTTTAAGGAGTAAATTTTGAAAAAAACGTTTGAATTGTAAGCATACTCTTTTTTCGATGACAGCTATGTGATGCTTACTAGAATATAACTTTTGATAATAAGGATATGGTAGTGAATATTCTTGAATAAGCTCTTTGAAATGTAAAGATACAACCAATATACCAAGGCAAAGGGAAAATGCTTTTTTCCACATCTTGATAGTTCTTGTAAGGTCTTCAACATTGAATCAAAAACTAAACACAGCAAGAACAATTAAGACGAACCCTAGCGTCAGTTTAAGTCGTGACCTTTTATATCTATAGATAACCTTTATATTTTTCGTGAACACGTCAATAATTTATAATGCATACATGTACCTGCAATGCCTAATTATCTTCAAGAGTGTTGCAGAATTTCCTTTCCGTAAAGTTTCAGAGAGTTTGAACGAACTTCGAATGGTCTTTAATAAGTCACTATTAATAAAAAAAAAAAATGGTTTTAATCTTAACGCTTAATTAATACCATTTTCGATTATATACATGTTGTCCTCGAGTAACGTTGATGAATGATGCAAAGTTTATAAAACGTTTGAAATTCCAAAACTAAATATGAGGTTTAAACAGAAAAACCAAAACTGTCCAGGATCAACCGTGACTATGCAATAGTTTTAGTACAATCATATAATCTTTTTATAGTAAAGTTGAATACCGAATTTGGTTAAACAATTGCCCCCAAGGCCCTTTCTGTGAGACAACAACCCAACAACAAATATGACTAAAAGAGCCTTGAGGGCAATTGTTTAACTAAATTCGGTATTCATATATTTATCGTCTCAAATTTAGCCCAACGACGTTAGGTCTGCGATTTTTTTGTCTTCCCTCAGCGTGATTCCTATGCATCTGAGACATCGTGGCAACACCGCCTGCAATGTGTCCAGCGCACTAGACCACTCGACCAATTAGGCTATATAAAATATAGCTTTCGTTAGTCGAGTAATGCCTTTCCTCATCGGCTTTATCTAGGGTTGTAACACAGTACATGATGTATAGTGGCAAGTAGATGGTATACCTTGCAGATCAGCTGATGTTTGTCTATCGTAAAGGATGATAATCTCACTTACCATGCCTTCACATCAAATTTTAATTTTATAAATATATACGTCTAAATATGTGACACCTTTACGACTTTGACAATGCAGGCGGTGTTGCCACGATGTCTCAGATTCGAACCCCGCTGAGGGAATAACAAAAATTTGCTAATGCAAGTTTGCACATCTAAAAGCGTTGGTTTAATTTGAGACGAAGTTTATATAAATTATGGTGTGAGCCATGTATAACTACACATTATCCGATGGAGAACGTCTGTCATAAAGTTGTCACACATTTGGCGTATATATATAGAATAATATATGGCAAAATCCGTATCGCATGCTGTATTACCATGAGGAACCAATATCAGTCCCGAGGGCCGAAGGTCCCGAGGGCTGATATTGGTCGAGTGGTGATACAGCATGCGATACGGATTTTGCCATGTATCATTCTGTTTATCATATATTTTAATAGAATCAGATTCATGGGATATCATTTTTTAAATCATCCGAAAATATAAGAGAGACAAGAAAATTATGATTTTCCTGTAGTTTTCCAGCTGACTTGGATGTTTTTTATAGACTTTCTTATTTGCTTGCTATCCCGTTTCATGATATATATATATATAGTCATAACAAAATTCGGGATCGTTCATACTGGACGAGACATCCACATCGTAATGTCTCTAATAACCTTATTACATGCTCAATATAGAGCTATGAAACTGGCAAATAATACATTTTAAGACCATGTATATTTAAATGCATTCACTAACGATACTGTCAGCTGTTACCTCCTGTGGAATACAACCCACCTTCCCAATATATGTTGTCAAGTTTAACCAAGTTTCACGGTGACCTTTGTTTTCATATTATACTTCAATCTGATCTCATTTGTAGACATAAATGTAGACAACAATGTAATCAAGTATCATCTATTCAAAGATTATGGACAGACAAACAGAGGGATTCCTATATATATATATGAACTCCACATATTCGACAGGTTTGCGATTTTGGTGTACCAAATATGTGCATACTTCGAAAACTAAAATTTCTTCAGTAGTGCTTGGTGTTAAAACTTTACTAACATGTGTTTTTCCAGGGGAAATAAATTAATATATATATATATTGAATACCATGACTATTTCTGAAACTTGTGCAACTCCATCATTTATTAGAACTAAAAACATTGGACTTGGAATTTCCACAAATGAAACCCTGATACTAATGAATAAATGTAGTCGTGTTTCCCTTGTATTTAAATAAAACACAAACACGTTGTATGGGTCTATGGTTCTTTTATTTCATCAGAAATTGATGTAAATATTCTAGGTGAAAAATGACCCTGAAATAATAACAAATATAATTCTCATACAATTCAATCGGTAATAATCAATTACTATAAAATCAATATATCTATATGCATACAAGAAAACTGTGTAGATTTCCTTTGCTCTTTAAAATAATAGTTTTACAAGCTACACAAAACGATATTACACCATTTCGAATTCTGTATTAAATGATTACATAATATATTTCTCTGTATTTCGTGCACGGTGAAATATGCAACGACAAACTAAGTTCACAGCTAAATACATAGCTACGCTTGTAGTATCATACCAAAAATAGTTAGTTAAACATAATAATACAACGCAATTGTAAGTGCGAACAAGACGTTACGTATTGGCAGCAGTTACACAAAGCAGACGATACATTTAAGCAAAGCAACATAAAAGTAACATGAACATTACAAACTGTATACATATAAACATACCTCACATGTAGTGCAAAGGTCTTTGCTTCACCAACTGATTGGTTTGAATCAGTTTACATTCTTTACAATATATGTAATACCTGAAGACAAAATATTAAAATTATAAAAACCTTATGCAATACTTCTAGATTAGAATAAACAGAATTATCTCCCCTTAAATCTGGGTAATCAAATATTTACTTGTATTAGCTTTATAGAGGTATAAAATCTTTTAACGCTCACTCATACAAACTGTTAAAATAGATTATATATTACTGTTACTAGAAATTTAAGTATTAATCATACTTTAATCAGTTTTATGCAGATTTTATATGTTTTACTAAATCTTACAAATAAAACTATATTATCAAGTTTATATTTATTACTTTAAATATTACCATGAATAGTTTACACATATATTAAATGTTAAACCATTTACAATCATACACCTTTCTTATTACTGTCACCTACTTACTCAAATATACACTAGGAATATTTCAGAAGTAAAGATATGACAAATTCCAAATGAGCTGAAGAAAATGGCTACCACTTCATATAAAGACTTTAGCCAACTGTCCAAAACAAAGAAAAGTTAAACTAAAGATTACCACTTCATATAAAGAATTTAGCCAACTGTCCAAAACAAAGAAAAGTTAAACAAAAGATTCCCGCCTAAATCATACTGACCAATAGAAAAGAAATTAATCAATAGGTAATGTTCTACCTGAATAAACTAGCAGACTACAAATTATAATAAATGTAAATAGAATATATCAAGTATATTCTAATAACATAAAACCTTAATTAATGTAAAACATAAAAATATAGCTCTACCACATAAATATTAATCTAACACCATTTTATTTTTAATCTGACAAACAAAACATTAATATCACAACAAGGATCATATGACAGCAAAAACAAAATAACAACTACATTAGGTTTAATACTTGTATTAAAAGAGAAATCTGGTCATTTGTTAAAATAATCCTTCATAAGAATTTCTAGTCCTAATCTGGCATAAATGACTAATTTTGTTTTGCAAGTATTTGGTGTCAAAATTTCTTTCCTACCTCTTTTGGATGCATGTAATTTATAAATTTCCTTTTTCCCATTTGGAACCTCATATTGATACATGTACATGTAATTTGTTTTAACGCCACTTTTATTATTTGCATTATTCAAAATAATTGGGATTTTTAAGTGAACAATTTGCTATTTAAATCCTTGATTTAGGAAAAGTATCAATGCACATACATGAAGTATTGCTAATTAATACAAATGCTTTAGAATAGTAATCTATAGATTCCTTACTTATATATATATTACCTCAGTTCCATTGCACCAAAGGTAACACACATACATGTACATGTACTTTTAAACAAAAAAAAACTAGTGAAGAGAGGATGGGTCTTTTGATCATTTTCCAAAATGAAAATTTCTAGTCTGAATCAGTGTCATAAATGACCCATTTTCTCTTGCAAGTATTTTTCTGAAATTCTAGCTAAATGTTGTTACCTTTCGTATCTTCCAGGAAATACAGCAACTGGACGTTATATGTCCAACTTTGACGTCATTCGATCTATGACGTCACGCCCGGTATTCGATACGGATTTAGCTATGCGATACGGGGAATGCGATACGGGGAATGCGATACGGGGAATGCGATACGGGTTTAGCTATGCGATACGGGGTATGCGATACAGGGTAAACGATACAGATTGGACAAAAGAACCTTTATTAAATATACAAAATTGCTGTATTTAGTACTAAATATATGATAAATTTATATATATAGAATAGAGAATAGAGAATGGAAACGGGACAACAACCCGACCAAAGAGTAGAAAACTGCAGTTTAGCTTATATTCAAAAAAGGAACCATAATTATATTGATCTATTCTAGGCCCTATACTGTTCCATGCTTTTATCAATGATATTTTATTTAATAGAATTTGAAATGTGTACAACTGAGCAGACGACAATACACTGTCTTAACCCAAACTGTTATTATTTGATCCTCGCCCTACATAATCACTTTTTGAATGGTAAAAAAGAATGAATAAACTTCAGGCAAACCCTGATTAATTTCAAATGTTAGCAGTGCTAAAGAAAATATAAAATAAATAACAGAAATCGTATCAGAAATGCGGATTTTTCACAGGATTCAACTGTGAAACTCTTTGGTATTGACATTTATTATCAGTTAAATGTTCGCATTCATATAAGTAAAATATTCAGAAGGGTATCTCATCAACTTAATCATCACAAGCGTATTGGATTTAAAAATAAGGAGTGTGTGATATATAACTATTCGCCATAAGACCAATGGTCAGGGATGTTAACAACTACATGTTTGTCTTATGTGAACATGCCAAGGAAGCTTTTATACTTTTATTTTGAGTCATTTTTATTTCTGCCCTATGACATGGCATGCGCATTTCTTGACTGAATAAAATAAACATTTAAAAATGTGTTAAAATGAGAACAGGTGTGTATAAAGAAGGTAATCCGAACAGCTGTTTGAAAAAAAAACTTAAATTTTATGTCGCTACTGTATATTACAAGACAGAGAATAATCGGGTATTCAAAAAGGGAAGAGAAAATACGAAAAGGGAAATCAAATACCAAAAGTCTGAGAAAACAGAAAATTTTGACAAAGAAAAAACGACTAAAAGACCAACAGCAGTTCACTGAAAATAAAACAACAGTGCACACGCTGAAATGTCTCGCCTGTTTTACTCACCATTGATGTTATGTTGAAAGTCATAAAGATAAAGGTTTTACTACATGTATCACATAAACCTAACATTTTTAAAGATCCATGACAATGAGGCAAAGGTCAGATAAATCTCGTCAGACATGTAGACATGTACACCTTACAATTATTCCATACACCAAATATAGTTGACCTATTGCTTATGATAATTGAAAAACAGACCAAAACACAAAACTTAATATAGACCAATGAACCATGAAAATGGTGTCTAGGTCAGATTATACCTGCCAGACAGACATACACACCTTACAAGCATCCCATACACCAAATATAGCTGGCCTACTGCTTATAGTATTTGAAAAACAGACCAAAACAAAAAACTTAACATTGACCAAAAACCATGAAAATGAGGTAAAGATCCGATGATACCTGCCTGACAGACATGTACACCTTACAATCATTTCATACATCAAATATATTTGACCTACTGCTTAAAGTATTTAAAAATTTGACCAAAACACAAAACATTAACATTGACCAGTGAACCATAAAAATGAGGTTTAGGTCAGATTATACCTGACAGATAGACATGTACACCTTACACGTATTCCATACACCAAATATAGATGACCTAATGCTTATAGTATTTGAAAAACAGACCAAAACACAAAAACTTAATATTTACCAATGAACCATGAAAATGAGGTCAAGGTCTGATGATACCTGCCAGATTGACATACATACCTTACAAGCATTCCATACAGCACATGTAGTTTTGATAACTGATTCATGTAATGAGGTCAAGGTCAGGTCTGACGGACATGTAGACGCTGCAAGGAACTCGTATACCAAATATAGTTATCCTATTACTGATAATAATTGAAAAATTCACATGACAAAAATCTCTATTTTTTTTCAAGTAGTTGCTGAACCATGAAAATGAGGTTAAGGACAATGGACATAAAACATACGGAAACTTCCTAACATAATGTATCTGCGTACAAGGTATGAATCATCCAGGTCTTCTACCTTCTGAATAGTAATCCCTATGTCTCGCATGCTGCGACGAAAGTAGCAGGCGAGACAAAAAACCAAGGGTAAAATCGAGTGCTTTAAAATGGTAAGTAGTTCATGCTCCACTAGTGGCTTGCGTTGTGTCAATTAAAAATTCATTAATTTAATGTATAAATTAGCACATTTAGATTTGCAATAGCTACTCTGAGGAACAACCTTGTGGATGAATTCAGAACTATTACAATCCCTGGTATGTATAACGTATACCAATTCCGTTGTTCTGCATACAGATAAACCTCTCGTGCTATTCTTATTTTTAGTTTATAGTGCTGCCTATCTTTCTTGCTTTAAGTATATATGTAGTGCGATTTTCAACTTTAATTGCACTATACTTTTTATATATGATGCTTGATCTTTATGTCTGCATACTTTAGGGCTTTTATTTATACGTATTTGGTGTTGACTTCGGTAAAAAACTTTAAGATTGGATTGATATATGCGTACCGAATCAAAATAAATGAAAAAAGTAAAATTTGTGTATTCGTTTTTAATCATCGAAAGCACCAAGCACTGAATTGATGGCATCTTAAGGGACTGACATTTCAAGGTCTCCAAATTTTATATAAATTTCATCTGAGAGATCAATCAAATTTATTTATGGACAGAAATTTTACTTTAAGCAAATAAAGTATTCTAAAATTCTATTGAAATCTCTTCTAAGTGATCAACCTAAGTGTTTTTATTCCCGTTTTAATCCAGTCAGTTAGGTAGTACCTACTTCTAATACTTATTTACCCACGTATTCCCGTTTTAATCCAGTCAGTTAGGTATTACCTAATTCTAATACTTATTTACCCACGTATTCCCGTTTTAATCCAGTCAGTTAGGTATTACCTACTTCTAATACTTATTTACCCACGTATTCCCGTTTTAATCCAGTCAGTTAGGTATTACCTACTTCTAATACTTATTTACCCACGTATTCCCGTTTTAATCCAGTCAGTTAGATATTACCTAATTCTTATACTTATTTACCCACGTATTCCCGTTTTAATCCAGTCAGTTAGGTATTACCTACTTCTAATACTTATTTACCCACGTTAAATTTTTTAGGTTATCACAATGTTATGCAAGATTTATATCGGCAAATCATCTTACCTTTTTAAAAAATAAAGAAATACTGACGCTTCAGTGCCAAAACTTGTTTACTCGTTTCATGATGTCGCAATGACAGCGAATTGTGTGGGGTTTTTTTTATTCAAAATAATTTTAAGGGTAAAAATCACCAATTATATGTCAACACCTATCTCATTCAATAGAAGGTTCTATATATAATCACACCATACCAAGAATTGCAATAAATTCAGGAGGAGTGCAGTAAAAAAGAAACACACAAAGTAAAACCACACACGCACACACAAAATGAAAGAAAACCGTCAAGGTTAGAAGTCATCTTTCATGGTTTGAGACACCACTTCTTGAAGTGCTGCACCCATGTGCTAAATATGAAGTCTACGTCAAAAGATACAAAAGTTATTGCCCGGACACGAAAATGTCAAAAAAGCAAGTATTTTTTTTAATTTTAAAGTCAAATGTCAAGGTCACATGAAGGTCATAGTGATGTGCAACACATCGTCTTATGGTAATATACCTTCATGCCAAATTCATAAGCAGGGCCAAAAGATGAAAGTTGTTGCCAGGACAAGGTTGTGATGAAGCAGTAGAACCAGGAGAAGAACATAATAGTAGAAGGGGAGACATAAATATCAAGAGTGACGTGACATCACTGTAATCTCAATAGCATATCATTTTCGCCGTTTTTGACCAAAACGATCCTTTAAACTACATAATATATTTGAATGTCATCAATATCTGAAAAAAATGTTAGGATTAGGTCTGCTAGTAATATGTCAAAACCCTGCAGGTAAAGCTGGAAGTACCAACTGTTTTTACATATTTAATCTTGAACAAAAGCAAACATTATAAAAATATTTAAAAAAAATCCTGTTCATTGACGTCTTATAATGATTTTAAAAAATGTCAATAATAAAAAATTATAAGTTTTTATTTTTGACTTCTACCGGGTAAACAAGTTACCTTATCATACCTTCTTCTTTCATCTTTCTATTTCACAGCTTTATTATAATGTTGTCACAAAGACAGCCCAAAGAGTCAAATAATGATAATAGTAAACGATAAGAATATAACATTTTGTTTTGGAAAAAAATCTTGTTCTTTCAATATGAAACACGCAGAGTAACAAGTCATATTAGATTTTATAACGAACATATTTTGATATTCGTGGTCGACATTTTAAATGCTAGCAAATGCACAATATGTTAAGTCAGAAATATGAATGAAAAGAATATAAAAAATAATAAACAACACAATAAGACATGAATATGAATGGATCTGCCCTTTCATAAGATAAACGAAATAAAAGTGTTAAGAATAAACAAGACTAGATGAGTTAAAATGCTGATATAATCATCACATGTAAGACGTTACACCACTTTCTCCAGTGCTGATTGCGGTTTGTTCAGTACAACCCTGCTCTCCACTGCGTTTATTGCAACATTTGTCGTGGATAAATATGCGTAGCTGATACATAGCAAAGAAAGCCATGTGAACAACAGGAACACCAATACATGTGAGAACTACGACATATATTATAGTCGTTCCAGCTTGGTCCCAGTCTAAAACCGGATATATTGCCGCTCCATCTCCTCCAACTTGATAAATCACGGAAAATATTATATATATAACACCAACTACTAACGGATATATGACATGTAATAAACGAACAGGTTTGGCACAGACAAAAAGGTTCAACAGAACGTACACTGAATTAACTGCGTGTTTTTCTATACTAATTGGGTCACCAGCTGAAAAAAAATAGAACTTTCGATACTAATATATATTCATTTTGATTTTTGTAATTCCAAATCAAGACTCTTGGGTTTATTGAATTTTTACGAATAAGTCATAAATCTAAAGCGTTTTTTTGTTTAAAAAAAAGGCAATATGAATCTATTGAAATTAATTTATTGCATTCATGACATTATTGTTTCTTTTTATCAAATATCTTTTTAATGATTTACAATTTAAGATAGATAGTTTCTCGGTCTGACACGAATATCTACACTTCATAGATAATTTATGTTTTATTTGTTACGTAACAAAATCAATAACTATAATTCGTTTATCTCCTGTCTTGTTTCCTTGTAACATGTAGTTTCGACTGAATTGTCTTACAAATTCTAATGATAAGATCTTATGGATGATGTTATCTTAATTTTTTTTTGTTATACCAATTTTTGAGCAATTCTGTCGTAAATGGTTTCCCTATTTGTCTGGTTTTTAATTGGTTCCTTTTAATTCCATTCCTGTTGTAAGTTGCGACTACTTTAGTCAGTGTCCAGAATTTTCCTAATTTTACGAAAGAACCCTCCAGCGTCGTCGACCTACTCATTTTCATTTCATGTTTCTCTGATATTTTCGACTGCGCATATGTAAATGTATCCAATTTTTTATTTTACTATTTTTCTCCCTATTACTACCATTAAGAGATTGCCAATTGCTAAAGAAACTTGTCTTTTGTAGTTAAAACCTGTTTGTTGACCTCAACCTATCTTTACTGATTTAATTGTGTTGTGGCAATGATATATAATCCGTACCTTCATTCATTGAAGCAGCGAGAAGTTCCATTTTACTGATATATTATTAAAAAAAATCTTTTATTTTTCATGACAGATAAATGAGATTCCATATGTTTACTTACATGGTGTCAGTAAGCCATAGAATGCTATAGTTATTAAGACACTAATACTGTTACTCAACTCAAACAATATCCAAAGTAATTTTATATACCATGGCATTTGATCTTCTTTATCTGTAAAATACATTTGAAGATTCAAATTTAAAAACATCAATAAGATTTATACATGATTATATATAGGAGTTAGAAACTGATATTGCGTATGGATCTGTAGAATCAAGAGTGCGATAACTTGATGAATTGTCGATAATATTATTTTAACTATCGAATGACATGGAGACTGCATGAATTGACATATAGTTATTTGTAATGCTTACAGATGTACTGGCCCCAGACCACAATTAATGACGAATATAGTTCCCTTTAATTAAAGTGTATTTTTTCTTAATTTTTTTTCTTTCCCTTCCTCATACATTTCTTAGTTTTTATTGGGTGGAAATGAAAGAAGAGAGCTGAAATAAATTTTTGGATGTTTTATTTTAACTGATTTTGATATGGAAAGAGTGATAAGGCCAGGTGCAAAAAGGTAGTATTTACAGTTTTCGGAACATCTCTTGACTTGTCTATAGGGGTATGGATGTGTATTGGCTAAATTTTTAAGATGTACACATGCAATTTTTTTGAAAGTTGGATATATTTTTGGACTTGTACTGTACATTACACACACAAAAGATTTGACAAAAAAAGCAGGTGATTTTTTTTTAATGCGACAAAACGTTATAAGAATTAATAGAGGAATTAATTGTGGTCTGTGGCCTACTTACAGAATTTGTATTCTGAATCAATTACCTTTTTCGTAATTTATAGAACACAAAATTAAGCCCATATTTAACTCTATTTGTGCTTTGTACATAAGCAACCAACTTTCGGAATAGTAAGTGATATGACGTATAGTCAACAATAGGTTCAAAACACAAACGCACCAATACGTGTCCAAGTGAAACAAAAATTAAATTGGTTAAAATTTAACCAAAAAGTCCTGCAAAAAAATCCTATATCTATCTTGATAAAAGTAAAATTGCAAAAAAAAAAAACAAATTAATTTCGAAATAAACATCAACGCACTACATCGTACTTAATGGGGAAATAAAATGAATTGAGAACAACAAAATCAAAAAAACAATAACGCATCCCATAAAAGCGATTCTTTTTGGGTTTCCCCATAGCAAAATATGGACTTTGGCATATCTATGCAGATAAAGGGAGTTTGGTGAGTGAAGAACTCTACTAACATTTTTTGAAGCTTATTCATTTATTTTCATTTATACAGTTTCTTCGCGAGTGTATTCATCAATATAACTGTAATGAAGCCTGTATAGTTAAGGAAAATCAAACAATTGATCGGTTCTATTGTATTTTTATTTTGCAATAATGCACTAATAAGCATTTTCCCGCTTTCCTGTCCATGAGTGTTTTACATGAATTCATATAAACCGGTGTCGCATTGTTTTCCTACGTATATTTATAGGGTTTTATATGATGATAATAATGATTATAACAGCAATAAAAACATACCTGACTTAGTAGATATATGTATAATATCAGATCTCCTCACATGGACATATAAAGTAACAATAAAATCCACAAGATTATAAAATCCTAACAGCACATAACCCCAGTTTGTCAAATATATGAAGTAATATGGATCACCATCTCCACCATTTTTGTATACAATGTACGGATCAAAAGAAAACCATACAATATGCCATACTAACCAAAATCCAGTCCATACAGGATATAAGATTCTAGGGCCACACTATCAATGAAAAGAGAAAGAAGAAAAAGATACAAAAATTGCATAAACTATCAACTTTTGAAGTATAGTTGCATATATTTAATCATCTATAATATTTTTATAACTTGGCCTCGATGGTTGTGGGACCGAAATACTAACATCTATTTGAGAATTTTAAAAAAATGATACGATTCCAGTTTCAATATCAACTATTTTTGGACAAACTTTACACTGTTTATTTTTTAATAGTGACACGGTGACAACTTTAAAGAAGCATATGCATTGGAGTAAGATATACAAATGTATAAATACATAAAAAAGAAAACTAACTACTAACCTCTGTCAAAACGAATAGTTTAGGAGAATCATGACGAAATACAAAGTTGCTACACTGAAATTCCTTCTTTAGATCATCACATCTTGTCATTGTACTGAATAACCAAATCTGTAACATACATGTATTTGCAAGGTTTATAAACAACTTTTTAATATAGGTCAGGAATTTAAATGGCAAAGAAGGCTTTAACACAACGAGTAGTCGATCTTAATCCAATTTCTATAAGTCTAAATAAAGTAATGAACTATTTAATACCGATGTACTGATCAGTACATTTTAAAAAGATGGACAGTAAAGTTATTTTGATCTTCTTATTGACAAAAAAAAATATTTAAAAAAAATTGTCCCGTTTTAGTTAATTTGGTCATGGAGATAAAGGAACCAAACTCTGTTACAGATATGTCATTTTCGCAAAAACCAAACTTACAACTTTTGTAGACTGTATTTAATTGTTCGTTGCATTTATGCCTTCATTAAAAGCTTTTAAAATTTGATTAAACGACACGTTATCATTTGGAAACAACTTTCATACTTTTTTCTATCCGTCCTTAACGATTAAATTCCGGCTGTGAACGACGTTAGACATTTTTTTTTTTCAAGATAACATGGTAAACACTCGAACGGCAAAAAAATTATTTGATATGGCATAATACAAAATAAATACTGTAAAACAACCATGTCATCGTTTCCACGACAATCTTGTCGACTCTTTTACTTCAGTACGTATTGTATATTGTAATACATAACTTACAAATAAGTGTAGGGTATAAGTCGATAAGATAAACTTAAATGCTAGAACGTACATTTGGATTGCTGTCTCGTGACGTATTTTCAAATATTTGGATGTACTGTTAGTTTTGTTCTCCAAAATATACATGGGATATACACCGCAGAGCATCAAGAAAATAGCAATCAATCATTCACATGATGAGGTCACCTCACAGATCCTCACAGTCTTTAACAATGGACAGTAAAATCAAAATGACTAAATACATATACAGTAAAACCGAATTTCGTACTTTCTTGTGCTCACATATATTTGCTTTCAGATGGTTAGCCCAAAATGCCATATCAAGAGTTCATATGTATATTTTGTAAATATACGTGAAAAGCTGTCAGATATGTATAACGGACAAACCTCAAAATATATATTCAAACAAATAAATAAGTTTACTCCAATCTATTTAAACGATGATATTGAACTGACAATTTACAAACATCTTATAGAGTCGCAGGAAAGAGACTTTCTAAGAAGGTCATAAATCTTTCTTACAACCAATATCTAAAACAGCCAAAAATCATCTATCCAACTTCAAATACGTAAAAAGACAAATATCTACACTATACAACATATCTAAAAGTGCAAAACATCTATACAATACCTAAAACAGTGACATAAAACAATACAAAATGAACGTACACGTACTAAACACTTGACGTGTTACTGTAACTTTAACAATGTCAAATTTCCCCTCTTTCTTTGAGATTCCTATTACCCATCTCTTCATTTAGTTTACTTTTCTTCTACATTTTTATGCAATTCCCTTTCTCTCGTATGATACCTTTAAGATTTATGTTCGGTATCATGTTAAGTTGGAATAAAACGACACATAACTTTTTTGTCTATTCAAGCAACTTATAGTAATAAACATGTCCATACAAAATAACGCAGATGCACAAACGTGGAATGCTGAGTATTTAAAACCGGTGATATGCAAAAGGGTTAGATAGTATTAACTTAGTATTATGTTCACATACATTGGGTAGTTGTTTCAAGTTGCCTGACATATACATAGTTCATTTTTTAAATAGTATCTTGATTGATTGTAATCTCTCTCGAGAGAATTTGAGATCAGTAAGCAAATGACGTCAAAGGTGTCAAATTGCTTTTTAACAATTAGAAATTTGAGAGATTATGGGGGATTTTTTACTGTATACGTGTAGCTATATATAATAACATAGTAAATTTGTTCATGTTATATAAATTATGTAAAGTACTTCGGAAATTATAATTTTATAATAAAAACTGTTGACACAGAAAGGTGTTAAAAATAGCAGTACTTTAACATGCAAAATATGCAAAATAAATAAACAAATAAATCATGACTGAAGGTACAGGGCCAAATAATTTCCTTGGAAATAAGATATGTCAATTCTAATATAAATGCATACCAAATAATACTGACTTATCATAAATGGTTCCCCTTAAACTGACCTAGTCACAAACTTTAATTAACATGCAAGTACAAAAGTTTCAGTCAATAGACAATGACTGTGGGGAGCAGGGCCAACTAATCTCCATGGAAATGAGATGCGTCAATGCTTTTTTAACTGCATACTAAATACCATTGACTTTTCATTTGTGGTTCTCCTTAAACTGACCTAATCAATAACTTAAACATTTAACTTAGCAATCGTTTTAAAGTAAATAGACCATGAATGAGGGAGTGGGCAACATAATCTCCATGGAAATGAGATGTCCCAATAATTATACAACTCCATACCAAATATCATTGATTTACCATTTATTGTTCACCTTAAAGTGACCTAATCACAAACTTTAATAAAATATTCCACAGGGCGCAGCTTGATAAAACCGCCGAGGTCGAACCCTGAACAGTTGGGGCAAGTATGGACACAACATTCAAGCTTGATACAGCTCTGAATTTGAATTGTGATTAAATATTTGACACAGAATGAATGTGGTCTATGAACTTTGAACTAAAAATTTGAAATAGGACATTTACCTAATATTGTCCATATCCAAAATCTAATTACATGGTTAGATTCACCATATCAAAGAACCCCAAAAATTAAATTTTTATTGAAATCAAACAAAGTTTAATTTTGGACCCCAATTTGGACCAACTTGAAAACTGGGCCTAAAATCAAAAATCTAAATACATGTTTAGATTCAGCATATCAAAGAACCCCAAGAATTTATTTTTTGTTAAAATCAAACTAAGATTAATGTTGGGCCATTTGATCCTTAATGTGGACCAATTTGAAAACAAGGCCCAAAATAAAAAATCTAAAGACACGGTTAGATTCAGCATATCAAAGAACCCCAATAGTTCAATGTTTGATGAAATCAAATTAATGAATCTTTATTGCCAAGCATAGACATGCTATGGAAAACATGAAAACCATATATCACATAATATAAAACATGGATAGACTGCAGAGAACAATAGTATAATACTATGACAAATGTAAAGTTATGAGACTAAATGAGATCTTATATTCCATGCAGTTTTTACATAATTACATAATTTGATAGTGAGAGACTTACTAGACGCTTGTAGTATATACAAAAGTTTGTGATTATTAGGCCAAGAACAATAATACTTTGGTAAAAATTGTGTTCGTACAGGTCTATAAGCTTGACAAACAAGAACAACATGGTATTCATCTTTAAAAACACACAATTTACAGCATTCACATAAACGATTTTCTCTCGGAATACTATTGTAACTACCAACTTCAATATTTAACTTTAATGTTCCAATACGTAACTTTGGTAACAGACAAACATTATTGTTGTAAGTAAGATATTTTTCAATACAAAAAGTTAATTTCAATCTACTATAAAAATAAAGTTTATTACATTCTTGAACAGTTGTTGACCAATTCTGCAGGTATTATTAGTCTTTAATGCGAGTTTTAATATCATCTATACAGATCGTGCTAGAATCTTTATATAACCATACATAATTTCACCCAAGATCATATTAGATATCACGTATATTTGAAGCCCAGTTAACATAACCATTGTTAGCTTCGTCATACAAGAGTTTATACACATCGTATACAACTTTTGGTTTATTTGTAATAACATGTAACCAATATTTCAATATTTTCTGTTTTCTTACAATAGAAAAAAAAGGTAAATGGCCAAGTTCGCCATATAAAAAAAAATATGGCACATTTCTACCCAATTTTAACACAAATCTACAAAAATGGTTATGGATAAGTTCGATACTTAAGCACGAATCGATGGAAACCCCATATTTCTGATGCATAGCCTAAGTCGGATCCAACCATACTGTCAAAAAGAAACATCTGTTCTTCTGGAGTAACAAAGAATTGTTTAAGAGAGTTCATTAGAGATGACATTACTCTAGATCCTTGTTGTGATAAACGTTTTTGAGTAGGTAAAAACTTTCCGTTGTAGTGTAATAATATACCAAGGTACACATATGAATTAACAACTTGCAGTTCATTTACTTTTGTACTTTGTGTTCTTGGGACTTATATCATACCGCTAGAAACCCTAGTGGTATGATATAAGTCCCAAGAACACAAAGTACAAAAGTCACTCGGTTTTTGCGTTCATCTTAGTCTTTATCCAACCTCTTACTCAACCAAGCCGAGTCAAGTCATACCCCAAACAACACCAAAAACCAAATATAAAATTATCATAGAAAAAAAGATTGTCTACTGGTCTAAATCCATTTCAAAATACCATTACTTTGGTTTTATCAGTACTTCTTCGATATTCCATTTATTGCAGTAAAGTAAAAGTTTATCAAATAAGTGTTGCAGAACAGTCGGTGTTTTTTTCAAATAAAACGGTATCGTCAGCAAAAAGAATTAGATAAATAAGAATTCCATTCAAAGATACGACATCTTCGTCTACATCAGTGGATATATCTTGAATAATGTCATTTATAAAAAAATAAGAAAAGTAAGGGAGATAAGGGTTCGCCTTGTTTTACAATAAGATGGTTATCAAAAGCCTCTGGTAGTACTCCACCAGACCGCACACGTAAACGCACAGATGAATAAATAGAATTTACCATTGATACGCATTTACTGATAACTCCAGATTTGAGAAGTTTAATTTTTGAACCCTCTGGTCAAGAAATAAGCAACTTATACAATGTATTAGAAAAGTATAGTTTTTGACCCTTTTTCCTAAACAGTTAGAGCCATAACCCCCAAAATCAATCACAACCTTTCTTTTTTGGTATGGAACCTTGTGGTACAATTTCATAGAGATCCATAGAATTATACTCAAGTTATTGTCCGGAAACCGGAAAATCCTTGTTTTTCGGTCACTTTTTGGCCTCTAATTCCTAATCAGTCAGGACACTAACCCCCAAAATCTATCCCGACCTTCCATGTGAGGTATGGAACTTTGTGTTTAAATTTCATAGAGATCCATACATTTATACTCAAATTATTGCCTGGAAACCAAATATCTTCGCAAGACGACGACAACGTCATACCATTATACTGGGAAACATTGAAAATTGTTGTAAGCCACTAACAATAGAAATAAACAGAGACATCTATACCTGTCTTTTGTAACGGGGTTTATTGTTTATAAGTGATGGTATTTTTCTTAAAATGCTTTTATGTTTCTGGATAGAAATTTTGATGAATTAACGAATATATAACAAATTGTTGATGCCGCCGACGCAATAAACAGCACATCAGTTTCCGAGTTTTTGGCCCCTGTCAAGGCGAGACAAAAATCTAGTTACCAAGTTCTTATTGAAACTTAGTTTAATTATTTCATTCTTGCAAATTATTTTATGTTTCTTGTATTCATCTTCTCACCCTATATGGAATTTACTGACCCTATATGTCGCATATTATTGCTCTATTTAGTGTTTATACCTGTACACGTACCTATTCGAACAACTGATTTCTAGTTGGGGATACTAACATAGGAAATAGAATGAGGCGATGATACCTTTTATCATCCTATTTCCTCCGTTTGCTTCAACAGACTGCATAATAATGTCAAAGTGTTTGTCCGTCGTCAATTCATCAAAATTTCTACCCAGAAAAATAAAAAGACCATCACTCATAAACATTATACCCCGTTACTGAAGACAAGAATAGACGTTTCTGTTTATTTCTATTGTTATCTAGGCTTACAACAATGTTCAATGTTTCCGAATAATTAACCCTTTAATGTAAATGAATATGAAAAAGACATCTTTACCCCCCACCCCACCAAAAAAAATAATAAAAGAACAAAGAAAATAAAGCTAAGAAGAGCGTATTTCCTTATTCTGTTGTACTTCCGATCCGTCTGGCGCACCCATGCACCTATCAAATGCCCCCCTTTTTTAAAAATATTAACATAAATATAATTGGTACCAGGAAAAATATAGCAATGTACTTACATCCGTTTCATTGGATATTCCTTATTCTAGCTTAGAGTTCTTCGCAGCTATCACAAAATTATTTAGTATTTTGAAATCACAAGTACTAAATATATTTATATCACCATGTTTATAAATTTCACAATGATGATAACATAGATTTTAATCAGATTTGTAACATATCCTCGTTATAATCAGATACTATATAACTTCATAATCATCTAAAGTTTATAATCTTACTGATAACCACCGTCACCTGGAAAATCTTGTTAATTTGATATCGGTTTATAAGGTTGAAATATTTCATATAAAACATGAACGATTAAAACTGCACTTCCTTATGACTAAAAAATAGTGAAAGACTAGTGTTTGAACATGACTTTGTCCTACTGACTGTTCGTCCTGTCTGATAATTTTTAGCTCCTGATTTATAAAAACAGAGAAAGTTCTAGTAAACAAATCAACAATAAAAACTAAAATTATTACCAGTGATTCCTAAACTTTCTCCTGTGTGGTACCTTGTGTCGATTTTACTGGTTGGGTTAATAGTCAAATCATGGGTTACAGGGTTTCTCACAAATTCACATATTTGTATAATTGAGTGACCATATGATATTTAACAATGCTCTAATTAACATGTATGGTAAATAATCCAAATTCAATTGTTTTGCGCTTACATGACACTTTGTTCTCAAGCAAAACTAATTACATATACTAGTAATAACAAATAATCAAATTACGTGTCCTGTTTTTTAAATTTTCTTTTTGTTGTGTTGTTGTTGTTGGGGGGGGGGGGGGGGGGGGGGGATAAATATCTAAGCATAAATTAACATACAAAGGAGACCTTTTAAAAATTAATAAAACATTCAAACTTCCAAATTCATATTAACCAAATTATTTTTGTCTTTAGCAATTCATAATTTTACTATAACAACTCTTCCCAAACTCACTAAGCTTCAATTTGAGACAATACCTTTATAAATAAACTAAATTAATGATTTAAATTATATATGTTCATAAATATGGACATTGCAATGAAAAAACTCTAATATATATTGATAAAGACAAAATTTTAATACAACACATTTAATAGAAATTTTTTAAGATTCCGGTGCTAAGGACGAAGTAATTTTATTTATTATGTCCTAATTGTCGCAGATTTCGTTGCTAAATTTTTATTAGGATTGCATAGATGATGTACGTGAAATTGCAAGTAACTGGTACTGAATACATTTCAAGTCCGAGCTAGTAAAGAAATGTCAAGAAATAACCAATCAAATTATATCTATTTTGTCAAATAACTGTGATTTTCTGTTTAAATTCTATAGTATGTAGATATGTTACCGGCAATTCGCAAATGAGCTAGCAGACGTTTTTTTTTAATCACATGCTATTATTAAGTACATGTTGTATGGAAGTCTCAATTTTTTTTCTCCTGTCGTTTTTGATGTTTAGTATACCTGTCCTTAATAAAAAAAATCAATACCATAATTGGCAACATGATCTTGAATTCAGACACAACACAAGATTTTCTCGGCAAACTCAGGAAACAGTATTTTTATATAAGGCTTCAGTCGTGTCATTTGATTGTATAATTTCTTAATACCTTCATAAAATTTCTAAATGGTTCATATACCTTAACAACTAATTAAATAGAGACTATTTTGTTTTCTCTTTATTTTCTAGCTCTTTGGAATTCAATTGTGCGTGTGTGCTCACATCGTTCTTACATGCAAAAAATTAACACGACATTGTCTAGGGTTAGTAACAATTCCTTTAATTTCTGGTTTTAAGCGAGTTTGGTTAACTTTTGATAACCATATGATAAATAATAAATCAGAAAATGTTGGCTACATGGACCTGGTTGGGTGATGGTAAATAAGGAAGAAACAATACAGACAACTTTAAGAAGAATGGTTAATAAAGGAAATCCACTACACCAGCTAAAAAACACAAAATGACAAAAATATAAGTAAATATTACTGAAATTATTATTGTGTCATTCTGATGGTATGTTTTCAATTATAAATGATTTATCCTGACATTTTGAATTTGTGATATTTATCGTTTAGCTACTACTCCTATTTTCCAATTTATCGTCCATGGATGCACCTTCTCGTAGTCTATATCACAAACGAAAAATTTCTTTTTCTCTTCCACCTTATCAAACTCTTGACCGGCTTGCTGAGTATTATTTAGTTCTAATGTTTCTTTCTCTCCGCCAATCTCCGACTTTAATGCACTGTTACTGTGGTCTTCACTATTAACTTCGGTATTTGTTTCAACGGCACCATCATCTACAGATACTGTTGATCTGTTGGTTTCATTGCCGATACTTTCTTCGTTATCTGATTCAATAGGTTCGTCTGAGATGTCACTCCCTATGTCCAGGTTGTACACTTCTTTTAATTTTCTTTTTCTGCAGAGTTTCGCATGAATGATAGTTTTCGTAACATAAAATGCATACAGTGATACATGCATCAGAGGAACTACAATAACAACTGTAACAAATAGTGCTGCAATAGTTTGACTCTCCTCATTCCAGTCTAACTCTGAATATATAGCAGTATTGTTTGCCACTGGCTGATACACGACTGTAAATAATATGTAAATTCCAGCAAAAATCATTGGATATATTAAGTGAAGTACTCGCACTGGTTTTGCACTTACAAATAGGTTGAGTACTACATAAACAGTATTAATTGCGTGGAACTCAATACTCGGAGGATCTTTAGCTACAAAACAATACAACTTTGTTAGAATATAAAATATTCTATGCAATAACAACATGTTAGCTTGACTCCATATATCAACAGCATAAGTTGTTTTAGAATACCATCATAATCCTTTTTTTATCAACCAATCTGAAGAAATAATTAATTAAAATTTTTCAAAAATTTCTTCAAACACCCAATTATGATAACCAAAGACATAATAAATAAAAAATAGCTCAACCAAATTTGCCAGCAGAAAAAAAAACCAATCATAACTTTACCTGTCCACCTCAACTTCCTCTTACAAAGACCTCTTACGGCTTTTTGTGTTGTAAAATTGTTGTAGGTAATAAAACTTACTTGGTATGTGAATACTATAAAGTCCTATAGTAACTGTTATAGCGATTGTATTACTAGTCTCGAATAGAAACCAGCTAAACCGTAAATACCAAGGCAGTCTATCATCTAAAATAAACAAAAAAATGACTATGATTTTTTTTTACAATACCCTTTCTCCTTTTAGAGCATACCTACTTTACATTCTGTTATTTTACTTTTTTCAAACTTAAGGTAGATGGGGTGTCTCAATTATAATCCATAGAATTTTTTAATAATTTGCCAAAATGTAGTTTATATCATGCTTTTTAAAAAAAAATAATAAAAAGAATGGGTCACGGGGCTTATTTTCACGCTACAGGTTGTGCAAAATTGACAGATTTTGTATAGATTATGCATGAAAAACCCAATTTTCTGCCATAAAACGAAAACTACACCATAGAATTTTGAGATAAAATATGAGAAGATAGCTTTAATAGTATGCTTTCAGATAAGAAAAAGAAAAAATGGGGTCACGGGACCCGTTTTCTTGCTACAAAATAAAATAGGTAAATTCCTAACACATTCTATTGTAAAAGTAACTTTATCTGAATTATCTGCCCTTACATTTGAGTTGCCTCCCCTTATGTGGCAAAGTTGGAAAAAATAGAATCAAACAAAAGTATTCTTTTTTTTGTAAAATACAACCATAAATATGATAAAATGTGTCATTTTCTATATTGAAATGAAAATTCTTACACATGAATTACCTACTACTCTCAAAATTTGCACCTTTTATTAAAGATCTAGACCAATTGTTTTCTGGTATTTCAAAATCCAAGATAGAGGAAGACACCCCATCTACCTTAATTACGTAAGGTGTTGACATTCCTCATATCTATAAAACGTGGAAAAGTGTTGACGAAGTCATGTTCCCGTTCGGTATTTGACAACAAAACTTTATTTGTGTATGTTCCGAAGCAAACTCCATACAGCGTTATCGTTCGGGTCATACTTCCCTTTCTCTAAAATGTAAAGAAGCGTAGCCAGATGTCACCACTGTTTCGGAGTTTGGTTCCGAAGGTACTCTGGATACACACCTTATCGCTATTTGTCCGCCATTACTGGACATCACAAAGGTTCCCGTAAAATTTTGACGTCACAATAGAAAATATCTGACGCCACAATAGAAAAGTGATTGTTGTATGACGTCAATAGTTCAAGCGGCGCAGATTCTCGGGCCAAGCGGCTCAGATTTCCAAATAGCGATAAGGTCTATTTACAGAGGGAAACAACTATATATTTTTTAGGGATTAAATCACTGACGATTTACTTGTCTGTAACTAAGTTTAACCGATTTGAAATAACGTAAATTATCAAATATTGGTATAAGATCTCTTCTGTAAGAATCAAAATAGTCACATTTTTCACCTTTTCTGCTCGTCAAATATTTACGTTTGACACCGGAAGCTGACCTATAACGCCGGAAGCTTACCTATGACGCCAAACTGTTGATGTGCCAAAGACGAGAAGAATTTTTCGCGGAGTTTTCAATTTATTAAAATGTTACACCGAAATACATGTATTGGCTACAGTGGAATCGTTAAGTTTTCACGTTATAATTGAGATAACCATTTTTTATGTTAAGATTGATCTTCATACAAATGTATATTCCTAAATCTATAAGAAAGAAAACACAATATGAAGATAATTTATTCGAAAATCACGAACTTGTATATTCGTTCATTAAAATTTATTTATTACTTTTCTAGAGTAATTTTCTCCTTAATTAAACCACTTAATACACTTCTGTGGAATGTTCTCCTTACTACGGAAGAGCTGTCACAGTATTCATTTTTCTTGGACTAATTAGAGGAAGTGATGTAAACTTACATGCTTACAACGTCCATATATTGAATGAAATCACGATAAAATAAAAGACGTTGATAACAGTTTTCAAAAGGTATGCAAGGCCCAAGATGTAGTATGGACGATGTATATCATCGGATAAATCACAAATTAGGAAGAATTAAACTATAGAAGTGCCTTTGGATGTAGCAGCAGAGATGCGATTATTACGGATACGCAGTTGTAGAAACACTGTTTTTGACAGTATACTTACTAAAATTTGACTCTAATATTACCTTACTAACTGTAGTAATGATTTCATGTTTGGTTAAAAATATTATATGAAAAAAATACATTTCAGTCTACTAATAAGATCTTTGCCCCAGTGACATGAAAATCTCTAGGGATCCAATTTATGGCTAAACAGATATTGTCTGGAAACATAAATTTCTTTCATATTCTATATCCCATTAAAGATGTTGTGACCTTTACCTCTGACCTCAATATCAATAGGTATTTTCTTCACCTTTTGGGTTATTATCAAACAAAATTTTGAAAAGTTTTGACATATGGTTAAATAGATATAATCCAAAATAACAAAATTTTGAAAAAATTTTAGTCTATCAGTTATAACTGCTGGTGCCTTAACATTTGACCAAATAACCTTCAAATCATTAGGAGTCTTCTTCGTCCCATGACCATTATCCAACCAAGTTTGGCATTATTTGGACGTATAGCGCACAAGAAATTTAACGAAATCAACAAGCTTATAGAAGCCGTGGGATTGAACCCCGGCTGGGTCAAACCAAAGACTTGAAAATTTACTGCTTCACCGCTTCTCATGTGGAATGTGTGTAACCTTGTGGACCATAACGTTAAAAAGCCAGCTCAGCGTGTCAGTCTGTACAAAGCATATAACATATTCACATCACATTATCATGTGCTTGTCCTAAATATGCATTTAATTTGCCACTGGACGTTAAACAGCCATCCATCATCATCATCAACTTATAGGGCATTGTTAAACCAAGTTTTTTAAAGATGCCGTTTCAAGTTTAAAAAGGAAAGATAGGGAATATTACATTGAGGCAATTATCCATAGGCCAACGACACAAAAAAGTTAAAGACAATTTTTACTTTACTTTTATTTTTCAATAGTCTTAAATGATAAAAAAATACAAATATAAATAAAAAAATGTTCCAAGCCAAATTAAATGTGGTATGAAAACATACATGCAGTACAAAATGTATACGTTTTCATTTGTTTAAACTGAATTCATTAGTTGAAATGTCGTTTTACAGAAAACCTTGAAGATTGAAAATTTTCTCCACAAATTATAATCAATTTCATACACAAGTCATGGAACCAGGTTACTTACTGATTGACATGATTACCGATAAAAACAGGAATTTATTTAAACCCACCTGATTTTTTAAATAACATTTTGTGTGCAAATGGATTGCAATGAAGGTTGGTCCATTTTTTCTCCTTAAATGTCGAAGTGTATATCTTTTATGCTAAAACTTTTAAAAGTTTTTCAATGTTGATATATCTTAGGGCTCTCGAGTTCCATTACGAATTTACACAACTTTTTGAAATTGACTGTTTTCAATGTTTTTTCTAAACTTCTATATTGATCTGTCCATCAAACTGTTCCGATTCGAGCGATTAATCTTGAGTAGAGTAGACGAAACATTCGTCTGGTGTATAACACCTTAAGCCCGATTTGTTTTTTTTTTTTGTGACTTTTAACACTTACCTTTTAATTTATACTCTTTGCTTATTAGCACTGGTCTTTTATAATGAACATAAACCGTTGAAATGGCGTCCATCAAATTAGAAAACCCAAGGATCATGTATCCCCAGTTAGTAAAGTATAGCAAATAATTTGTATTTTCTGATGACCCATCCACTCCATAAATAAAATAAGGTTCCAGAATGAACCAAAGTAAGTGGTAGAAAAACCAGATCAGTGTCCATATTGGATACAGCAGTCTTGGACCGCACTAAAACACAATAAAAATACATCATAATATACTTGAATTATATAACCCATGTATAGATTTAAAATACACAGTTATCAACATTAATTTATTCAATAAAGAGAGTTTTATGTTTTCTAAAACTGTATTACATAATCAACTTGCGATCATCATTGAAAGCTAACGAAGAATGATCTGAACAGAGTAGTACATACTTCTAAGTACAAATTAGCCCGAGTAATCTATGGTGTAAGCCAATTTATTATTTAACTGAAGTTTGCAATCAAATTTGATGTTATTTTTTTCAATCATTTCGTTCGAATAAAATCAGATGTTGTTTTCCATAATGAATAATGATTGATTGATTGTTGGTTGCTTAACGTCTAGTGGCAAATATTTCATGCATGTTCAGGACGACAAAAATGAATAATGACAAAGTATATAACAAGGAGTCATTTGCTACCTATTTTATTCATACAAATTATAAATTACAGATGTTCAGAATTTGATCATATACCTCTAAACGTTTCTACGTATTTAAACATCCTTGACTTTCAAATGTGCAGGTTGAGCGTTTCCAATAAAGGAAAATTCAGGACAGAGCTCACGACGCACGATTTTTAGAAAGTTTTATTACATGTACATTATGTAAGTCATATAAATATAATACATAAATAATAAATCATTTGCAAAATCAAAGAATAAAACCTCCTTAAAATCCCCAAATACCGATGCAGATAATAAATCGAAAAACTTGTGGTTCGGTGTAACTCGCACTCCTACTAGATACATAATTCACCCAACAAACGCCTTTTACGTATATATAGCTTAAATCACAACATGGAGGACTACTCGACTTCGAAAAAAAACTATCAATACTTGTTCGTCTTGTAATTTATAAGTGGAAGTACATATCACATTATACTCAAAATTTCACAGAATGCCCCAATTCTGCACACGAACAACTACCAAAACGTTATTGTATATTTAGTACTTCAAGCATTTCTATTTCATCTTTTAAAAATTATTCATCCCACAAAACACTTTCATCAGGATTGAGTACGCCTTCAAGTCAGATGTAGTATCACGAATCAAACTGGAAACCTTTCAAACAATTTAAACTACTATACAAGTTTTTCGTAATATCAGTCATGCAATTAAACTTTTTAAAAAGATCCGATTACACGTGGTATAACAAATGTACAATCGCGATCATAAAGATGCGAACTATGGGACTGCTTAAGATAATACCGACACATTTAATAGGATTTGCTTTACGTTTAATGTTATTAAGAAAAACAAATACTACTTATAATAAGATGTCAAAATTTTTGAATTGAACAAACCTGCATGAATGTATAAAAAATAATCATCTGCTAAATCGACTCATATTTATTTGTTTTTTTCTTAGTAAATGGTATAAAATTTTATTATACTGGAGTGAAATAATTTGACTAATCATGCAATTTGATTGATTACCTTTAGAGGGTATACGTATGACTGATTGGTTATTGGTTGCATAAAGTCTAGTGGCAAATATTTCGTCCTTTAGAGGTATATGAGCCCATATACCCTGTACAACAAGGAAGACCAAAGTGGTAATTAATGTTAAAACTAGGACATTCCAGTATACCGTAATATAATTGTTATGTAGCCTTCACTGGGTATATGGGCTCATATTCCCTGTCTGACGGTTCAGGTGATATAAAACACTGACAGGGAATACGAGCCCATATTGCCTGTGAACATCCAGAATAACAAAAAAAATTACCCAGTGCCCGTAAGAATAAAGATAGACTATATCAGATATTTTCAATTATCTCTGCACAATTAATTTGGAAAAAAACTAGAAGTAATTGATATTACGATTAAAAATGCTGAAATGTACAAAACATATTACTTTTTTTTAATATACATATAAAAGCATTTTTACACACACACAGACACACACACAATTTGATTTGATAAAAATCACCGAAGAAAAGACAACCTACTTACTTTAGCAAGCACGAAAAGATGAGGAGATTCATGGTCAAATCCAAATGACTGAAACTGAAATTCTTCTTTACAGATTCTCTTGACAGATGCCGTCATGACTGGAAAAAGCATGACCTACGTATAGAATAAATATATTTATATTGACATAGTTCAATGCATGACATATGATATTCGTTAGGTCATAGATGTTGTACGTCCGATATTATTGTGATAAAACTTCAATACACATTGTTCTTTAATCAAATCTGTCATTGTTATTTTATTCTACAGTGCTTATGTTCTATACAAAGTATATTTAATGAAGATAATCTGATGGCACAGTATTTAAACTTCGCAATTGTTTCTGCGTTGTTATCTTTACGATATGTCTCAATGTCTGTTTTCACGGAATTTGTTGTTGTTTTAGAGGAAATGGATGGACCTTGACTCCTTCAATTTAACAGATAACGTGGAATGATTATTTGGTGATGCTTAATTTTTTTTTATTCATTAAAGCGTTGTTTCTATTGGAGTATAACAATATCTAACGACACCGAGACACATGTACAAAGATAAGAACGTACGGTTTTTAGAACAAAAGTAATAATTTATGAAAATTCTCGAGATTTTGTTCAGCAAATAATGGCTTTTCATATATGATTATGATCACCCTAAGGGTGTCGCATTATATAAGGGAGCTACCATTTGATTTTTAGGGGGGGGGAGGCTAGGATGAAAAATTTTCTCCTGCATTTTTTTTAGTTGTAATCTCTGTCCTGTCTTTTTATTTTTCACTCTATTCGGTCCTGCCTTTTTTTTATTAGTTTATCTAGACTTTTTGTACTTAAATTGTCATCCTACCTGTTTTTGTTTTGCCAAGTTGCTCATCCTGCCTTTTTTTCCCGAAACTCCTGTCCTGCCTTTTTTTCAAATTTCATCCTAGCCTCCCCCTATTAATCAAATGGTAGCTCCCTTGAGTAATGATTAAACGGATCTAAAATAGTTTGTTGTTTACTTTACGTCAAGAGACAAATATTGCTTGCGTATTCAGGGCTTAAACAAATACAAAAGAATTATTTTAGCAAAATGGGTTATCTAGACCAAGAAAGGATAATTATTTGGAATGACACTAGGAAAACACGGTATATTTGATAAGGGCAGTAACTTGCTTTGTAAGAGGCCACATGAAAACCCTTGAAAGAGTTGTTGATATATATTTTATGTACAAAAAGCGTGAATTACTTTACATGTATATATATATAGTCAGCATGGTTTAAGAACATTTGTTGTTCGACCTGTTAGTCAAATGCGTTTTGTTAAAATATACTTTTTCACTTTTTTGGTCTTTTGGAAAATGTTGTTTGTGCTGTATTTAGACCCCTCTAACAAGAAATTTGTTTTGCATGCACACGTATAAAAATTGCGGTTTTTATCCAACGCAATCATAGGTTTGAACGTTGTTTTCAATTTAGACTTGTATATATATATATATATATATACCCGTCATATTCTTTCCCAAGCCAGGAACCTTCATCTTAGAGGTTGTCGTTTGTTGCTGCCTGTCATATTTATTTTTCTATCATTGTAGCATCAATCATATTTTGAAATAATTCTCATTTTGTCATACAGGGGCCTAAAAAGAAAGTACATAAGAGTGTACATAAAATGTGTCACAAGGTTAAGCTTACCAATCTAAAGTCTGGTACTAAATGTTCAGTCCTGTAACAAATACGACAGAAATATGTTACGGACCGGTGTGTCAATTTTCTTTAGTGTTGAAGCAAAACATTCAAGATGAATTGATAAAACAACAATAGTATACTTATTATATTTGTTACTTTTACACACCAGAGACCAGATGACGTAGAAGTTAGCAACTATAAGTCAGCATAAGGCCTTCAACAATGAGCAAACCCGATACCATATAGCAAGCTATGAAAGGCCTCGAAATGACAAAAGTCTTTTGAACAAAATTCAGCGACATATTTTATCATTGGTTTTAGTGAGAATCTTATGAAGCGTAAAATGTTTTTTTTTTTATTTTACTACCGAGCCCTTAAGAATAAGAATAAGAATATTTATTGAATCCAATTAAAGGGCCCGTTTCCGAGCATATACATATATATATATAGTATTAATTATACAGTAATTTTTAAGATATATTACCTTAAAAATAAATGATTAAATAACCATACTCCATACCAGATGGTGTTTGAAAATAAATAAAATAGAATATTAACCCTCTCTAATACATAAAAATAAATAAACTACTGTAACAGCACTACTACATGTATATTTAGTTAGTTACTGGAATGCAAATTTTCTCTTATTTCAAAACAAGTACTTATAAATCTTGACACTGACATATTAACATTTTCAGACTCAGATGACATTAACCAAATAAATTGTTCATAATTGTATATTGTATTATGACAATGCATTAATTTGCTTATTACCTCTTCTCGGCGTTTATGGTTGCTTGGGTGTCCAAATGTTCGACGATAGATTTTTCTTAAACTTCTGTAAAAGACTTATGGGTGAATGTAATTTCAAATTTGAATATAAAAACTTGGGGTCACGGACCCTGTTTTTTTGTTAAGTTACACTGAAATGAACGAAATCACAGTTATTTTAAATGGGTTATATAAGGGAAACTTTTCTTTTCCTTATTGAGGAAACATTTAACGATAGAATTGGACAAAATTCAATGAGAGAATGTCTTTTCATAAATACTTTCAAAATATCTAATAATAATAGGGGTCATGGACCTTATTTTCTTGAAAAATAAAAAAAAACACAAATTTTCCTATCAAATTCAGTATAATTATCTGCCCTTGATTTTAAAAGGAGTTTTCTGAAAATCTTTATACACTTAACAACACCTAATTTTTTTGTAGGTTAATCTTTAATTTTCAAGGTTTAGATGTTTCTGTTGTATATTGAATGATACTTTGTAAAATATTTTTAAACCAAAAAAGTATTTTTGCAACATGCCCAGAAGGGATGCTCAGAAAAAAGACACCCGATCACCTAAATTCATTCCTAGGTTCTTTTGAAATGCAAACTTATATTCAAACTGTTGTTCAACTCCCTTGTATTGTACTATCTTCACATTGACTTTAATGTGTGTTTTGTTACGTTAATTGATAAAATGTAAATTCAAGTGATTGCAACACTACTGTTTGAATAAACAGATTTGCAATCTCTACATTAGAACATTAAGGACATTGAGGACACTTTTAGTCAACGTCTAGTTACATATTCTATAGGCATATTGAGAATGAGACCCATGCATTACAGAAACTCTGAACAAGCTATGTTCTTAAACGTAGAAGGAATTGAAGCTTTTGTAACTAGGATAAGAACTTCTTGATTCACTATTGACGCCACTTGCTTTCCTCATGACCAGGAACAATCCAGGGGGAATCTTAGTCATCGAGAAGTCGAAACATATGTTTCTACTGCGAGTTTGAAACTTCAAACACGGTGCAGTTTAAGTTATAATTTCGATGGCACGGAACATGTAGTGTCTCGTTACATCCCGTACTGCACAATGGATATACACCCAACAAACTCTTATGTAACTTTCATTTCTAACAGACCCCAACTGGGATGTGTGAAAACGAACATTTACAGAACAAACAAAATGCATTGAGTGTGACGTACAATTCATGTAAAAGAATTACCTAATTTCATATTATTTTTACAAAGTGCAATAGCAAAGATACATTGTGCTTATAATTATGTACTGTAAAGTATAAAATATAAAACATGGAAACCAAATATGTTATTGCTTACCTTATGTTCATCCAGGATTGAAAGTCTTCTAGAGATATTAAATTAAGGGTAAAACATTTTATCCACATTAGACATTTTATTCCTGAATGGCATTAAATGACAAAAGATAATATAATTTTACAAAATTTGTCTATTCTAACTTATACATCTTAACTAATATAATTGAATAAGTCATTACATTTTACAGTGTTTGGTTTCTTAAAATGTAATCAAATCACCAAACATTTTACCTATCAAAACTTAATAAACATCTTTTTGTTCTCGGTGAAGTATTACTTAATTGTATTTTGAGTAAATGTATTATGCAAACGAATATTAAGTGGAAGATATCTTAGAAATGTTTCCCAAAAGGAGGAGATGTGAAAAACGGCAATATTTGATCAATGAAATGTCAAACATAGTAAAAATCTTGAAGCCTGTTTTTTTAAATTTTACACATAATTTCTGAACAAAATAGATATGAGCCATGGCCTTAGCCAAAAGGTTACCATATAACCCGAAACCATCTAGTCAAAAAACGTTCGTAAATTCTTTATCATTTTGTATCAATATTTTACTTTCAGAACTCTAGACCACTAAATACTACCACAAAGAGGAACTACAGACCAACCTAAAAATAAAGATTCTAACTGACTAAATTCCAGACATTGACGGTGTGATACCAAATTTGCGACAGTAGTTTACCGATGTTCAAATCTCATAAATCCAATAAGAAGACGCAAAGCAACGTTAAAATTAAAAAAAAAAAAAAAAAATGATGGAATTTCGTGAACTCCAAAAGATGCAAGACAGGGTAATAGTTTCCTGATATGCATCGAACGCCATGCGAATCACGACCAGTCAAAATGTCACAATCAGGAATAGGACATAATCAATAACTTAACAGATCAAACGATTTTTGTGTTATCCAATTTAAGATCTAAGTCCTCGAAAACATAGGGTGAATAGGAATCTTCATGTTCGTTCGTTCGTCATAGTTTTGGTTTCAAGATGACAAATAGAGAACCGTTTTTATGAAATAAATTGAAATTTGAAAAGAAAATTTTTGACCACAAAAGACAGTTAAAGTTTGATTTTCGTCGTTTTCACTTATACCGTTGCACAGATATGGTGCTTGATTGTTGGAAAAATTAAAATATTAGTGGTTTCCGGATAAAACATTGAGAATCCCCTTTTAAATTTGCTGAAATTTTAAAGGAATGTTTCGGACCGCTTAAGACAAGGTATGGTCGATTTTCGTCGTTTTCACTTTTACTGTTACAGTGTTATTATACTTTCTTGGTGGAAATATTCAAGATTGTACGAAATCTTGATATCAAATGGAGAAATCCTTTCTTATAATTTATTGTTAAATGGAA